GTTTACCTAATACCTGTACCCCATTGTATCTAGGAAGGAACTAGCTTGCTTTTGATTTTACAGACTTGTAGGTGGAAGGGACTTGCCTTGTCTCAGATGAGACTTTGGACTGTGGACTTTTGGGTTAATGCTGAGATGAGTTAAGACTTTGGGGGACTGTTGAGAAGGCATGATTGGTTTTGAAATGTGAGGACATGAGATTTGGAGGGGCCAGGGGTGGAATGATATGGTTTGGCTGTGTCCCCACACAAATCTCAACTTGAATTGTATCTCCCAGAATTCCCATGTGTTGTGGGAGGGACCCAGGGGGAGGTAATCGAATCATGGGGCTGGTCTTTTCCATGCTATTCTCTTGATACGAATAAGTCTCATGATATCTGATGGGTTTATTAGGTATTTCCGCTTTTGCTTCTTCCTAATTCTCTCTTGCTGCCACCAAGAGAGAAGTGCCTTTTGTCCTCTGCCATGATTCTGAGGCCTCCCCAGCCATGCGGAGCTGTGAGTCCAGTTAAACCTCTTTTCTTCCCAGTCTCAGGTATGTCTTTATCAGCAGCATAAAAACGGACTAATACAGCTACGTTGCCCAGGCTGATTCCTGGGTGTAAGTGGTCCTTCAGCCTCAGCCTCCTGAATGGCTGGGACTACAGTGCACGCTGCTGTGCCTGGCTTGGCTGATTAATTCTTGTGATGGGTTTAGATCTTGTTTGTATTTTTCTTACTATTTAAAGGGGTAGCCTCATTGTTTATTTTGTTTATGTAGCAATGAAGTTGGTGGGGCAGGAGGACTACAACCAGGTGCTTGCCTTAGATTGCCTGAGATGGAGCCCACACAAAGGCTGGGTCAGGCTGAGATGGAGGGGCGGTTGCCTTTGAGCTGCTGTGCCGGCAACACAGCAGCAGGTGGTTTGTCAAAGAAGGCAACATGGAGGCTTGGTCAATGCAGCAGGAGAGGAGTCCAGGCAGGGCTGCCGCAGCCTGACAGGAGAGGCGGACAATCCCAGGGACTGCATCTCATTTGTGTGGACACTCTTCAGCCACCAAAGAGCCAGCACCATCTCCCTGGATCTGGGCGCCTTCCAACCTCGAGAAGACTCAGGATTGCAGAATGGTGCAGTAGGCAGCAGCCAGTCTTGGAGGACCCTCCGTGGCAGCTGCCCACTTCCTGGACCCAGGCTGGCACCCCGCTCTCCCTGGCCTGCCAGCCTTGCCCAGCATCCCGCAGTCAGAAGGAGGAAGAGGAGAGCAAAGGAGTAAGGAGAGAACAAAGTTGTCAACACTTTCGTTGGAGGGGCTTGAACAGAACATCCGGAAGTCTGGGGTGAACAGAGAGCGCTGCTCCTACAATCTGTCTGTGCCATGCCTTGCATCAGCTCTCTGCATCCTGATTTTAGACAGAACGACTCACCAATTCAAACAAATGATGCTATGTCAAGAGCTAAGAGCCCCCTAAAAAATCCATATGGGTTGGTCTGGTGCACTGTGGAGCTGGAATGTAATGTAGAGTCTCTTATGTAACTCACCTGTGAGGCAACAAGCCAGCCTCACAGCCTGCACAGCCCAGCAAGCAGACAAACAGGTTAAGCTGCCTGCCCAGTAGGACCGAGAGTCAGTAGGAACTGAGAGGTGTGAGGTTGTTTCCAAAGCACTTCCCGAAAGGCCAGAGGTAAACAGCCTGAGCAGCTGTCCCGGCTCGGCAGGCCGGGCAGCTCCGTCCCTTCTGTGGCCTTTCGGAGTGGCAGGCCCTGGCCAGCACCAGGCTGGCTGCTTGCCCTGGGGAGTGTCTCCTGCCACCAAGGACCTGAGGGCGGAGCCTGCAGGGAGCTCACTCTCAACAAGAGGCTACTCACACAAACACAGTGCTTTCCCATCTGTCTGTGAAAAGAGTCAGACTCTGTAAAATATTTGAAGAGATTTATTCTGAGCCAAATATGAGTGATCATGGACTGTGGCGTGTGTCCGAGGTGGCTGGAGCACAGCTTGGTTCTGCACGTTTTGGGAGACATGAGACTCCTTCACATACATTTAGGAAATACATTGGTTCAGTCCAGAAAGGTGGGACGACTTAAGATTTTATCATGCAGGTGAGACCTCCCAAGCTTCGGGTCTGTGCTGATGCTGGTGCTGGTCAGCTTCTCCTGAATTCCAAAGGGGAGTTGGGAATAATGCGGCCTGTCCACCCTCTCCTCTCTTCACGGCCTGAACCAGTTTTTCAGGCTAACTCTGGAGTGTGCTCGGTCACGTTCATTAGGTGATTGCGTGGACGGCCGTAACATGTTTTTTTGTTTATGCATTTAAACTTTACAGAAGATGGAAAAGTTAGGTTGTTGCAGCAGTTTGGAGTCTAACATTCCCAGAGAAAAGGTGTAAAATTACCAAATTCCTGAAGAACGCAAGCAAACATTTTCTGTTTATCTGCCGTGCGCAGTGTCAGAAAGGCTGGCACGGGTCACACCGATTTGGCCTCAGAACCATTCCCAGGAGGCCGGCAGGAGTGCCCTCATTTTCCAGGAAAGGCAGCGTTCAGCGAGGCCAAGTCATTTTTCTGAGGTTGAGTGGATTACACATTGCCAACTGTTTTGCATTGTTAATAAAAAATGTATTAAGACTGGGCTGGGCATGGTGGTTCATGCCTGCGATCCCAGCACTTTTGGAGGCCGAGGTGGGCAGTTCACCTGAGTCAGGAGTTCAAGGTCAGCCTTGAACTCCTGACTCTACTAAAAATACGAAAATGAGCCAAGCACGATGGCAGGCACCTGTAATTGCAGCTACCCAAGAAGCTGAAGCAGGAGAATTGCCTGAACCTGGGAGATGGAGGTTGTGGTGAGCTGAGATCACACCACTGCACTCTAGCCTGGGAGAGAGAGCAAGACATGGTCTTAAAATATATATATATATACACACACACACACACACACACACACAAAGACTGACTTCACAGGTTATTCATATGACATTTCATGTAAATGCGGTGAAATACACAGGTTCTATTGTAACAGCATGAGTGAGTCTGAAAGCCGGAGTGCTGCATGTGGTTGGATAAATGGGGACAGGGATTTTCAATAGAAAATAAAAGAAAAAAAGGAAACTTTCAATATAAACTTGGGATCTTAAAGTGAGCATAAAATGAAATCATATGGCTGTTCACGGAGTAGTTTGGTTTTAACCTGAATTGTGAGCTTCTCTTCCTTCAAAGTTCCCAGAATGTGAGAGTCATTTTTACATGAACCTCTGCAGACACAGGTGCTCCCTGGCGGCTTCACCTTTGCTCCTTACAGGAGAGCGTTTAGAAGGGCACCGTGAAATGTTTTTAGAATGAAGGATATGTCTTCTACACGTTTAAGATGTTCCCTGTTGCATAAAACATAAGGAAATGTTTGACAACGGGTTCTTAACGTTTTGGGGTAAGAAAAGTCTTAGAAAATCTGAAAAGCTACCGGCCGTCTCTCTGGAAAGATGTGCACGGACATCACGACATCATTGCGCGTCAACTTGCAGGAGATTTCCGGGTGCCCTGCAGCTGTCCGAGCCCCACGCTCACCCAAGCTGAGAGCGCGGCCCCAGCCTCCTCTGGAATAGCCTTCGGCGTGGGTGTACCTGGCTGCACCCGTGGACGCTGGTTCACTCATAGATTACTATTCACTGAGCATTTTCTCATCAGCCAAGCCGCGCCTCGTGTTTTCAAGTAACCAAATAAACTGGGGGAGTGTTCTTTTCCACTGCCCTGAAGATGACTCATCTCTCCAAGTGGAGGAAAGGTTCTCTTCAGGGTGATTGATGGTGTTTGGGAGCAAAGGGCCTCAGCCGGTTACAGCATGACCCTGGGAGGCCAGCTCTGCTCCCTGGGGCCTGGGGCTGTGGAACGCTGACCCCGCTCTGCTCATCTAGAGGGCGAGTGCTCTAAGTGGGTCCCGACCCCATGGCCTCTGCTCCACGGCTAAGAGCACTGGCTGCAGAAGGACGCAACGCACGGCCTGTGCAGCAACTCACGTGGTGTCACAGCCCTTCAGAGTCCACTGCCTGCAGGGGACCCAGCATTCCCATTCCAGAGGGCTCCTTGCCTCCTGGGAGAGGCCCGTAGGTCCGGGGGTCTGCGTAGGAAAACCCCAGGGGCATCCCTTCCCACTGGAGCCCCGGCTCCAGGCTCAGACTGGGGACTTCAGATGAGGGGCCTCAGTGTCTCTGTGGGTTGGGGAGGTCCCCTGCAGTCCTGGCACAAGGTCGCTGTCTCCCCAGTGCCTGGAGCTGATGGTCTCCACCCTGGGAACACGGAATTGGCCCTGGGTCGCTTCCTTCTGTGCACCCAGGCCTGGCACGCCGTTGCTACGTCTTCGTGTTCAGTGAAGTGAATAACACTGCATCGCACTAGCCAGGACTGGAGGTCAGCACTGAGTGCGTGCTTCGTGTGTGTGGTGAGTTCAGTCTGGTTCACAGGCAAGGCTTGCGGTACAGATGAGAAGCTGAGCAGAGAAAGAGTTTGAGGTCCGCCCAGCGCCAGGCACTGGGGTCGAGACAGGCACCTGCAGGCATGGTGTGGGGCTGTCCACCACCCTGCGAGATGCGGAGCTTTGCTGGGGAGAGGGAGCTGTGCACTGCTGCTTTCATGCAGTCCCCTTTCTTCCCAGAACTTACATGTGTGCACACAATATACCACATGCACACACACACCACACAGGTGCATACAGTACACACACATGCACACACGCGCCACCAAATCTGAGTGCAGAAATTAAGTGTGACTGCTTGCATCCTCCCCTCCCTCCTCTCCCTCCATCCCTCCCTCCATCTCTCCCTTCCTGCCTCCATTCCTTCCCTTCTCCCTCCCTCCCTCCCTTCCTTCCACAGCATGGGCGTAAGTCAACACAACAACACACAATACAATAACACACAACACAATAAGAAGTGTTTAAAAGTAAGAACTTGTCTCCTTACAGAAACATTGTGTTAATTCAAAAAAGTATTTTCAAATTGTTTTAGTATAACAATTCGCCTATCCAGTGGGTAATCAGGCACAAACCGACACTGTCTTAAGTACGTTATTTGTTTTATTTAAAAATGCATTGCCAGCCATCAGTAATGGACACAGCAGGAAGACGTTAACTGTCTGCAGTTACCAGCACCTGGCTAGTGTCTCCCTTCTCCCAGCCCTCTGCTCTGTGATCAGTACTTTCCTACAGTCCGTTCAAAAAAAAAAAAAAAATGGCCCAACACAGCAGTCCCTGTGCCCATCCACCCCCCAACTGAGGCAGCAACCGCTCCGCAAAGATTCCATGTACGTGTAGGCCCGGTTTGCAGCAGATAATCAACATATGACACTCAGCTTTTGAAGACTGGAAGCTGGCAAGGCAGTCTCAAAAAGGATGAAGATCCTTTGTGGGTAAGTATCTCACCATGTGCTCTCAGAACAACTTGCGGAGGAAGAACAGCAGCAGAATTCGGTTGTAAGGAAGGGCGGAGGAGGGAAGTGTGCTTGGAGAGCTGTCTCTTTTCACCTATCCTAGAAGTTTTCTAGGTTCATTTAAAAATTATTGATCTTCACTAAAAAAGCCCCAGAGCACAGGTCTTATAAAATCCCATTATTAAAACGATCTACACAACCTGGAGTCTCTGAGAGTCAAGTTAAAATGGCTCTGTCATCTTTCCAGGCTCCCCACTGTGCCAGTTTTGAGAATGGAGGCCTGGCACAGCACACGCTTTGCCACTCCACAGTGGCAGGGTCCCAGGTAGGGACAGAAACGCCAGGGTGGGCTGCTTGTCCAGCAGAGGCTGCAGGTCTGGGTCCCGTTTTGAGATTCTTGCCTCCATCACCGTTCCACAAGGAGATGCCGTGTGACTTGGCTTTGGAAAAGCGTAGAGAAATGCGAAGCCATCAAGGATGGTCCTGGCATGTGTCATTCAGGAGATGCCTGGTTCTGTCTCCATGGGTAGCTGCAGACTTTCAGAACACCAGGCATTTTTATGGTTGCACGTGGAAAAGACGAGGCACATACTTTTCCTGAAAGTAGCGTTGCTCTTTTTTGCTGCTCTGAGCAACTCTGCTTCCCCAAAGCCAAGGGAACATTTTCTTCAGCAGGGGATGGACATTGTGTGGGACCGATGCCAGCCTGTCTGTCGTGAAAGGCCGGCTCTGGCCGGGAGGGCTGAGGATGTGTGGGCGAGAGTCCGTCGGGTTCTGCCTGCCAGTGCCCAGCAGGCATGAGTGTGGAGCCTGGGAGGGGCTGGGCTGCGGGAGAGAGGCAGGAGGGTTAGGCCTGGGCTGCTGGAGCTGCTCCTGCTTCTTGTTTTAAAGCAGAAACCAGCACTTTGGATTTTAAATGAAATTTCATAATTTAAAAATACAGGCAAGCCAGTAGACCCCTGGGGTGGAATTCCCAGCTGGCAGAACGGCTTGTCCTGGCTGCCACAGGCACTTCATGGTGAAGCTGGGACCTGAACTCTGAGCTCTAGGTGACGGGTCCCCAAATCTTCCCACAGTGCCATTTGACAGCCGTGCTCAGACACGGTTGTGTCCTGGTGGGGGCAGGGCGCTAACTTACAAACTCAGTGGCGAGTTGGGTCATTGTCCTCAACGACCTTGCCACCTCTTGGACTGGATGATGTCTCCTACTGCTGGTCGCCCCCTGAAGAAAATGAGTATCCCAGTGGCTTTAGTCCCCACCCCTCTCGGAGGCCAGCCACCAGAAGCCCGGGACTCTTTGAAGATCAAGGGAGGACCTTCTACCACTGACACTTGAAGCAGAGCTAACTACCCCACCCTCTGATTCAGCCGGTCAGCGGAGATCTTGAAAAAATGCCTGGAATTCACTTTAGCATGTCCACATCTAAGGAGAGAGTCAGCGGGTGCCTCCTCTCCCGAAGCCTGGAGCCACCTCGGAGCTACCCACATGGGGAGCGGCCGGGAGGGGAGAGCTCTGGAGGGTGGGGGCTCAGGTCCTAGCCTCGTCTCTGTCACACTGTGTGATGTCCTGTGCAGGCGGGTTTGGGTCCATAGCCTTTGGCATTTCTAAAATGAGAAGGCTGGATTGTTCTCGCTCAGCTCCAAAGCCTATAATCCCTGGAATCCTGGAGACCTGGTTTGAAACCCAGGCCTCGTGCTACCTGGGGCAGATTATTTAACTCCTCTGTGCTTTGACTTTCTTATCGGTCAGATAAGTCTGTTCAGATTTGTTGAGAGAACGTGAGCCTTCCAAAGGTAAGCTCCCCACCCTGCACCAGTGAGTCTCCACCTAACACAGCGCTTGCCCCAAAGAAAAACTAATTGCAGACTAACAGCCTGAGACCTAATGTGGCAGTCAGGACGCACAGGATTTGCAAACGCACAGCCACCGGGACGTGCTAAACCTGCCTGGAAACCTTGGGGTTGTACAGTGGGAACCGCAGAAGTCTGAAGGGTGTGGAGTTTGTGGGAGGGGAACTGGGCGGATCGTGTTTCCTCTAAGGATAAGCACAGCAGTGTTCCCTCTAAGAATCAACAACAATAGTTCTTCCATTTCTTTTTTTCATTTCTGGGGCTTGGGAAACTTCACAGTTCCAACTGAGAATTGGATGAAAGATATGGAACGTGCCCCAGAAAGAGGCAGATGCTCTGCATTCAAGCCTGCAAGTTCCACGGATTTTAGGAAACCCATTCCTGAATACTTGTGGCTTTGGAAGTTTCTCTTCAAGTAAAAGCAGCCTTGGGAACGGCTGGCTACGCGGGGGCTTCCTGGGGAGCATGGCTGGGGCTGACTTGACAGAGCTCCCGCTCAGCTGACTCTTCCGAAGATGTGGGCTTAGCTGAGGGTGGTTTACGGAGCCCAGGGAGGTTTTTCTGCCACCATCCATGGCTCTTTAGAGAGTCACAGATCCTGGTCTGAGAAGCCCTGTCAGCAGAACAAGCGTAGATGGTATCCCTGGGGGACAGCAAGCACTGACAGCAGCCGTCAGTGACCGAGGGCTTCCTGCTGGGGACAGTGCCTCTGTCCAAGTTGAGCCCAGGTCCACGTTCAGGTCTGTGTGCAGCACTGTTGACCACCACGGCTTCAGTAACAGGGATGTTTAAACATTGCTCCAGAATCGTGCTGCCACATGACGCTAAAATCTCCCGTCCTTGCTGCTCGGGGGTCCCCAGGTCTATCTCTGAAGTGAAATGGAGCTCAGTGCCCCTGCTTTTTGTCATGGGTTCTCAGCTCTCAGTCATTTGCTTTTCTCTACACTTGTGTTGCCAAAATCTGTGTCAGTCAGAGTTCAACAGGAGAAACAGGGCCAGCAGGAAGCACGTACTGACTTAGCACAGAGAGCCGGCCTGGGCAGCGGGCGAGGTGAGGCGGGCATCCTCGGCAGGCACCAGCCTCATCAGGCTGATCAGGCTGCAGCGGCCGTCCACCGGGGCCTTTCCTCCTCTGCGAGGCCGCTGCTGTCCCTGGAATGCCCTTTGACAGAACCAGGCCCTCCCAGGTTATCTGTCATAATTTTTTTTACTTAAAGTCAGCTGATTACGGACTTCAATCGCCCTGGCTCCCTTCCCAGCAACGCCTGCTGTTTGTGGAGTAAATCAGTGGGGAATGGGAGCCTCGCCAGGTTGACACAGAAAAGTAATCATCACAGTCCTCCCCTCACCAGCCTGGCACTCACACACAGCTCCTTAACCATCCTTAATTTCCAAAGAGAGACAACAAGAAGTCACACCTCTCCGCCCAATGGCACAATTTCATACAACCGACAACACGCTGGCTCCTTCCCCAGCAAAGGCGCCGAGTTCTTGGTTCATGTTCACTCTTGACATCTCGTAACTGAAATACCGTCAGGCAAAGCTAATTGTTGTTAATTCACCTTATGTTACGTTATTTAAAAAAAGAAGAAAAGGAAGAAAACAAAGGTATTGGGTTAATACATGCAAACATGTTCATAACGAAATAAGAAAGAAACACTCCGTATTTGGTTACTGTATCTGCCATTATCTTTTAGCTGTCAGTGGTCCATGCTCGTAGCTGGCATCCATAACAGCCCTGGTCCTTCACCCAGGCTGTGTTCCGTGGACCCTCAGTTGGACACGAATCTTCACCTGCTTCGTTCCCAAAGGCTCCGGGCCATCAAGTAGCCCTACCTGAACTGGGTTCCCGTGGTTTTTCCATTAACTTAAGCTCCAGACATGGTAGCACATGAGATACTCTAAGGGATTTTCTGTATTTCAGACGCTCTTCTTCACCTCCAGCGTGGAGTGGCCACTCAATTTCCCCTGGCAGTCAGGACTGTCGCCCAGCCAGTAGAGCCCCTTCTTAGCTTGTTGACTGAGAGGCAGGAGTTGCTGAGAGTAGCCGGGCGGCCTTAACTTTCAGTTCAATGGAGTCATTGTGTCTCGGGCTGGGAGCCCTCCTCCCTCCGGAATGACAACTTCTGGTCTGGCAGAGCCGAAGGTCAGAGCTGAGAAGCAAACATTTTGCTTGTGAGTCACTAGGGGTGATAGTGAGTGGAGTCACTCCTCCTTCACTCTCTTGGTGTGAAGTAGGAAAGTCCCCCCACCCCCCTTTCTCTTGCTGTGGCTGAAGATAAACACATTTGACCTTTTTTCCCCCGTAAGGCAGAAAGAGTTAGGGTTAAGCAAAAATAATGAATCTGTGGGCCTCCTCAAACACAAAAAGGCAACAGGAGCCCTTTGGGGGCCTGCTCTTCCCCGCATCTAACTGCGAGGTGGCTCCCTGGGTCTCCCAACCACACTGCACAGGGTGCTTGGATTTATTCAGCTACATGCTCGTGCCCCACTGGATGGCTTGCATTTTACCCACTTAATCACAATCTTCACTCACACAATCGCTTACACATTCATTTATTTAAAAAATATTTATTAAACAAAACGCCACGACGTCCCCCTGAGCAGGGCACAGAAATAACTCTGCCCTCGTGGAGCTCATAACTGAGTCCATTTTAGAGAACGTGGCGGGCCGAGGAGCCCCAGGTTTCCGACCCCCTGATCTACAGGGAAAGGCGAGAACTCCATTCTCACCTCCTCTTTTACCGGAAAGAAAGGCAGTCAGCAAGAAAGAGCAAACGCCAGCACGGGGTGATAACATCCTTTGAAGCTGTATGTTAGCCTCTCCCTAAAGAACATTCTGACAGGAACTGTACATCTGATATACGTGTTTCCCAAAACTTATCTTGGCTCCTTGAGAACCAGAACAATACATTTTTACTTGGAGCAAAGGAAAGAAACTAACAGAACAGAAGAGAGAAACCGTATGATCTTATCACAGATGAAGAAGAAGCATTTGGCACACTTCCTGATAAAAACGTTCTGCAAACCTAGAAGAAAACTTCCTCAGGGTGATAAAGAGAATCTGCAAGATCTACGATGAGCCAGGCCCACTGATGCTCGCCTGTAATCACAGCTACTTGGGAGGCTGAGGCTGGAGGGTTGCTTGAGCCCCGGAGTTCGAGACCAGCTTGGGCAACATAGCAAGACCCCTTCTCTAATAATAAAAATAGTAATGATAATAACAATAATAACATTTTAAAATCTACAATAAACATTCTACGTCATTGTGAAATAAAAATGTTTTCTCCTGAGATTGGGAAAAGGCTGTTCTCTTCGCTTCTATTTAACATTGCGTTAGAGGGCCCAGACAGTTAGGTGAAAAGGGCAAAGTAGAACTGTCATTATTCACAAATCACATTACGGCACATGTAAAAATCCCTATTGAATATACAAAAAAAGCTTCCCTAGAATAAATGAATTTAATAATGTCATGGTGTACAAAAGAAATAATCAACATTAATTGCATTTCCAGACATTAAGAATAAACCATTACAAAATAAAATTTAAAAAACCGCTCTGCCATTTAAAATAGCATCAAAATATTACATGCCTGAGAATAAATCTAGTGAAATATACGTAATATTTCGACATTGGAAGATAGAAAGCATTGCTGATGGAAGCGGAAGAAGACCTAAATAAGTGGACATGTAGACTATGTTAAGGCTCAGAAGACTCAATGTTATTAAGATGTCAATTTCTCTAAATTGATAAAGACTCAATGTAATCTTATTCAAAGTTCTGGGAGGTTTTTCTCTGTAGAGATTGACAATATGATTCTAAAAATTATTTGGAGATTCAAAGGACCTAAAATAGTCAAAACATTTTTGAAAAAGAGCAAAGTTGGAGAATTACCCTACCTGAATTTACAACTTACTATAAAGCCACAATTATTAACACGGCTGGGTACTGGCAAAAGGATGGACATATGTATCACTGGGACAAATGGTCCAGAAATAGACCCATGCATATAAAGTCAATTTATTTTCAAGCTAAGGTGCCAATTCAATCGAATAATAACAGCAAAATCTCTTAAAACAAATGTTGTTGGGGAAACTAGATATCTGTAAAGAAACAGAAACGAATTTTTAACCCTTTCCGTCTACACATAAATTAACTGACATGGAGCATGGACGTAAACGTAAAGTTTAGAACCCTAATGCTTTGAGAAGATAATACAGAAGACCAATCCGTATGACTGAGATAAGCAAGATTTCTTACATAAGACATAAACATACTAAACATTAAAGGAAAACATGATACATTGCACTTCACGAAAATTAAAATTTTCTGTTCACGAAAAGACAGCATTAAGAAAAGGAGCAAGTGGACCACAGACTGGGAGGAAGTACCTGCAGCAGACGCAGCGGACGAAGGCTTTGTGTCCAGCATGACGCTCCCTGCAGCTCAACAGAAGATGAACAGCCAGCGGGAAATCAGCAGACGACCTGAGCCTTGTGAGTGGGCACTGAGACACCGTAGACATGTGAATCACAGCTATAAGGAAATGTCATTTCACGCCTGTTACTAGGACTGATGCATTGTGGGGAGCGCAAAGTGGGACAGCCGCTTTGGGGAACTCTGCAGTTTCTACTTAACACACATCTTTCCTGTGGCCTGGCAATTCCCTTCTAGGTTCACACTTCCTCGGGAGGAATGAAAATCTATATGTCCCTGGAAAAGCTCGTTCAGGAACGTGCAAAGCAGTCTAGTGTGGGAGTGGTCCACACGTCAAATCACGGGAAGTGGACAACGCACTGTGCAGCAGCCACACTCGGCAGGCCACACCCCGGGCATCCACACTCGGCAGGCCACACCCCGGGCAGCCACACTCGGCAGGCCACACCCCGGGCAGCCACACTCGGCAGGCCACACCCCGGGCAGCCACACTCGGCAGGCCACCCAGGAGCAAGGGCACAGATGCCGGTCCAGGCAATGGATGACGCTCCTCAAAACATCACGGCAGAGGAGAGGTCTGATGCAGAAGACAGCACCGGTTTCTTCCTTTTGCGTGCCACCCATGGTGCTGTGCGACCCCATCAGTGGGAAGACCAAGAACAGGCAGGTGAAGCCATAAGGACAGAAATTAGGGGCATTTGATCAGAACGGCCCAGGGGAACTTTCTGGCATGGTGGCAAGTGTGTTTTATTCCTCAAGCCGTGTGTGTGGCATGGGCCTGTGCAAGCATGAGAACACACTGACCTGAACATACAAGATCTCCGTGTTTTACGTCCTGTCAATTATGTATTGATTAAAAAAAGAAAAAGGAAAGGCATGAATGCTTTGCTCTTTTCGTCATCTTTGGGTTCAACTCCAGATGACTCTTCCTTCTATGGCCTGGAAGCCACAAACTTACAGTCAAGGGAAGGCCTTTCTGTGCCAGGCCCTCGTAAACTCTGTTTTGCTCCCTCTAACCCTGGGGTGGTGTTTTCGAATCAAAGTTTCTTCAAATGTTAATTGGGATGAGACTTGCTTTGCATATTTTGTTGGTATATTTAGAGAACGACCTTTGATGACATGTATTTATTCAGAAATATGTATTGGGCTGAGCCCTGCAGATCCCCTGCAGGAGCCTTGTGGCGCTGGGCCCGGCGGGTAAGTGGGCTCGCTCTGGCTCTCACATCATGTGGTCACTGTCCTAATTTTCATATGGTGCAAATTCATTGTAGAAAAAATTTTTAAATGCGCCAAAGCCCGAGAAGAAAACTACAGGAGCGTATGATCCCGGAGGCAGCTCCACTGTCACCGCCGGTCCCCGGCTGCTTCACTCCATCCAAATCGTGGCTGCCGTGTGTATACTACGTCCGTGCTTTTCCACTCCACGCGTAGCGAAAACACTTCCCCACACTATTGAATGCATGGTGTTCTGTCGTAGGAAGGTGCTGTAATTTACCAAGCGAAACCTGCACTGTTTGAAATGTTTCCAGCATCTGTAAAACTGCTCGTGTGTGCAGGCACCATTGCTCTGGCAGGAGGAGGCGGAGGCCTCCCGTGCTGCTGCTTTCCATTCCTCTCACAAGTGCATGCTTTTCACACACTTTAAAGCACCTCTTGAGGAATGAGACACTGATTTCTTCCTTGTGTGTGCCCCTCATGGTGCGAGCATATGCTGGGCGGGAGTGCTTTTAGGGTGCCCTGGGAGGAAGGGGCAGGTGGGCTCCAAGAGCCTTCACAGCACTGGCATCGGGTGGGAGAGCCCTGGGCGGAGGCACCAGCAGGACCCGGCTGGTGAACGCAAGACATAGCCCAGCACTGCGGGCACACAGACCTTGTCAGGCAGTGATACACCCTCTGGGCCAGTGGTTCCCTTGGGCAGGAAAATGCATCTTGAAAAATCTATCCAACAATTATACTTTTTTTTTTTTTGGAAATGGAGTCTTACTCTGTCACCCAGGCTGGAGTGCAGTGGTGTGATCTCAGCTCACTGCAACCTCCATCTCCTAGATTCAAGCGATTCTCCTGCCTCAGCCTCCAGAGTAGCTGGGATCACAGGTGTGCACCACCATGCCTGGCTAATTTTTGTATTTTTAGTAGACATGGGGTTTCATCATGTTGGTCAGGCTGGTCTCAAACCGCTGACCTTGTGATCTGCCTGCCTCAGCCTCCCAAAATGCTGGGATTACGGGCACCTGGCCTTCAATTATACTTTTCTATCTAGAAACATAAACAAGTCTTGTTTAATAATACAAACTAGAGTGCATAAATCTCAACAAACCTTCCATCCTGGTGAGGTAAGGGAAGAGGACAGCCCACAGGACCAAAAGGGCTGTCATGACCGGGAGGAAGGGGCTGATGACGAGAAGCTTTGCCGGGACCTGTTCCTGGGAAACCTCTCCTGGTCATTATGCACACCCGTTGGAAGAAGACAAGGTATGCCCGCTAGCCCACCAGAGGCGGCGTTCTCATTCACTCCCCAGCACGTATTTATTGGATGCCTAGCTCCTTCTCAGCATAGGTCTGGGTTCCGGATAGACAGATGAATACTGCTTGGTCCTTATTCTAGAGGAATTTCTAGTCCCACAGGGAAGACAAGCACACAAACGTACACTGATGAGGAATGTTCTTGTGCCCAGAAGTGGGGCAGTTCATGCAGCCCCCGGAGAAAATGACAGACACATGGACGCGTGAAGAATGAAAACAAGCCAGCAGGGCAAGTGAAGGGGGCGGCAGGGAGGGTCGGGGGGTCCAGAGCTCCAGAAGCATGGACTGGAGGGTGAGAGAGGAAGAGGTGAGACGGAGCCTGGTGGTTTTCAGCTCCTCCCACAACAGGGTTTGTTTTGGGGCCAACTCATAGCAGAACCGGTGGAGGCTCCGCACGAGGCTGAAGATGAAGCCTGACTCTGTTAGCAGACCCAGGCTGAAGCTTGGGAAGGAAGCTCTGTCGCCATCGCCTAGCCTGCAGCGAGCATGGGTGGCAGCAGGTGCAGTGTTGGGAGTGCTGCAGGATGGAAGAGTATCCACTGCCGCCCCTCCAGTGGCCGGGCTGGGAGAGGGTGCAGTGGCCATGCTCAGAGCCAGAGTCTCCGCTGCAGCCCCCACCGCCCAGCTGCTCATGGTCACTCAACCCAGGCCAGGCGGTGCCCTGGCCCTGTGACTTCATGGAGGGCTGTGCCCCTGGCACTCTGTGAGCCTCTCTGAATGGGGGTCATGAAGCAGCAGGGTCACACAAGGGCCTCTGGTGCCTCTGGCCATGGGGGCAGCTGAACTGAAGGCACTGGGCTGGGCTGCAGTGTCAGATCTCAGCCTAGCAGGCAGAGGGCAAGGCCCAGGCAGGCGCTGGCACCAGACCAGGAGCCGGGCAGCCTCGGAACACGGTTGGTGCTGTCCAGTCCTGGGAGTCGGGGTGCACTTGGCAGTCAGGACAGAGCAGCCTCCCCACCTGCTGCCTGGGAGACGGTGACCTAATTCTTAACTCCACCACCTTGCTTCATGCCCGCACACCTGGGACTAGCTCCACTTCCACTGGAGGGAGGTTTCCAGCTCAGATTCATAGACAGATTCCAGAGAATTCTAGAGGATGCCCTGAGAAGGGAGGAGGGTGTGGGCCGGCAGTCTGGGTTCCGCCCTGATCTCATGGAGGGGGAGCTGGGTTCGGCCTGGCAGCCATCTGGTTTCTCAGATTCTCAGTGGTGTCTGCTCAGAAGAGCCACAGAACTGTGCTCGCATCTCTCAGGATGAATGTGCGGGGAGCGCGCACCTGTCCCGGGCGGTGTCTGGGGCCCCCTGGGTGCCGAGAGCTATCACCTTCCATTTCTTCTTTCGCTGACTAGAAAGTGGCTTCACCTGGAAGCCAGGGTGCCCAGTTCATGAGTCCCTGCTGCTGTCATCTTTTGTTGCAATTGTAAGTGGCATCCACAGATTTGTATTTTTTAGGCACTGAAAATGCTTTAAAGGGTCATTTTCCTCGGGGACTATCCTGGTGAGGGTTTTTTTTTCTTTTTGTGATCAATAACCTCTTCTAGAAATGTCTGTTCTTTGGCTGGAAAAGGTGAAGATTCAGGTCATTCTACAAAACCCGCCAAGCCGCCGTGTGGAAGATGAGATGGCTCTTCAAATCGCAGACCTTACTGAAGAGGGTAACGAGTAGAAGGCCGAAAGGAAGACCGTTCATTCACTTTCAGGCACAAATCTTCCACTGCTGAGATGCGGGTTCGCAAATGTTAGCGCTCCCAGCATGCAGGAACCCCACGGCCGCTGGCTTCGGTCCTTTGGAGCCAGCAAAGGCCCATTCGGGGCGCTGCACTATTCCAGGGCTCCGGCCAGCAGGGCAGGGCCGGGCAATGCCTGTTCCCGCTTGATCCTAACTGCAGATTCAGTGCAAGGCACTTCATTATGCGTGGAATCTTCTCGGCAAGGATAACGTGTTTACATGGTGTTTAGAGACTAGAAACGGAGTTAAGGAATGTGAGTAACATCCACGAGAAAGACGGAGGAGACAAAAGCAGACAAGAACAACTAGAAGCCAGGCGGCGGCGCAGGCCTCCGGTGGCAGAAGGAGCTTGCTTTGTCCGTGGGGCTTGGCCGAGACGGGGTGGTGTCAGGGACGCAAGGTCTCGTGAGCAGCTGGAGCTGGACAAACAGAGCGAGTCGAGGTCAGCAGGGGTGGCCCTGGGGTTTTCAAAGTGCTTTGATGGAGACAGAGGAAGAAAGTGGCGGGTAAAGACAGGCTGGGGCTCTTTCTACCTCTCCTCACTCTGCTGTAGCCCTGGGAAAGTCATGGAAGCTCTCTGGGCTCCACTCGCCTCATCTGTGAAACGGGAACACATGCTATTTGCCAGCTTGGTGAGGGTATGTATCTGACAGAGGACCTTAGAGATGTCCTGGGACCAGGATGTCACTTCCTCAGACCCAAACTGGGAGGACCTTGTCTTGCCTATTCTCCAGGGTCCAGGGGTGGCAGGGGTCCGGGGATCCAGGGGTCCAGGGAATAGGGGTGGCAGGGCTCCAGGGATGGCAGGGGTCGAGGGTTCCAAGGGTGGCAGGAGTCCAGCGGTCCAAGGGTGGCAGAGGTCCAGGGGTCTGGGGTGGCAGAGGTCAGGGGTGGCAGGGGTCCAAGGGTGGCAAGAGTCCAGGGGTCTGGGCTGGCAGGGGTCCAGGGGTCCAAGGGTGGCAGGGGTCCAGGGATCCAAGGGTGGCAGGGGTCCAGGGGTCTGGGGTTGCAGGGGTCCAGGGGTGGCAGAGGTGGCACGGGACTGGGGAGGATTTGCAGACCAGCACCCCCAACATCACACTGAGGGGCTTGGCTGCTGCTAAGTCTGAGCAGGGGGAGTTTCTGAGTTTGATTCCTGCAGTGGCCCCTCATGGTTGCCAAGAAGTCAGGCATCCCCTCCCAACATCTAACGGACACTTACAAGCTCAGGCCTCAGGAGAGGCGCCTGCAATCTTTGCGCAGCTGCACGCTGAGTGCTGGGGTTTCACCCAGACCACAGCGAGGTCTCGGGCACCCTGGTCACACCCTTGGCATCAACTCTGTGCACAATCATGTGGGACCCGGAGCCACAGCTGTGCCGCAGAGCAGAGGCAGGAGAGGAGACAGCCTTCATATTTTGCTGCGGGCTGGGGAGTGCCTTTCAAAATGCTGTCATTAAACCGAATCGCCAAGGGGCATTTTGAGTTCAGGGCACCCTCCCCGGGTACGGGGAGGTCTGGCTCTGTTGTGGCTGATGGGAATGGCTCAGTCTGGACCTAAATAGCCCCTTTCCCCCCAGGGTAATGGCACGTTACTGTCAGGAAGTTGCACAATATAAAATCTCAGTCCAAGTTCACAGCCGAGTTCAAAAAGACTGAAAACAGAGGGTTGAATGTCAGCCTCTCGGGGATGAATTTAGGCCATTGTTTAGAATTAAATGTTTGGTCAGAAAACCCACGCTTGTCCAAACACAGAGATGGGGTGGGGAAGCCACTGAGGGAATCCAGGGACAGGAGTGTCCGAGGACTTCAGGGCACTTTGTGAATCAATACTTCACACTCCTTTTGAAAAAATGTCCTATTTTACAGCAAGAGAATCTAACACTGGCCTTGGATTTGGGTCAAAGGCTCTGGGAGGTCTCCTGTGCTTACACGTACGTTTCTAACTCAGTTCTAAGTAAAGCTGAAGATTCTGCCAAGGAAAATGTCCCATGAACTACAAATGCCTATGGTTGACTTTCACACTGGTGCTCCCTAACCAGCTGACCTCTAAAGAGAAGGCTGCTACAACAGGAGACAGAGGAAACTCAGCAGACTGTAGGGGAGAGGCAGGAACTCAGGTGAGAGATGGAGAGGCAGGAAGTCAAGTGAGAGATGGAGAGACAGGAAGTCAGGTGAGAGATGGAGCGGCAGGAACTCAGGTGAGAGATGGTGGAGACAGGAACTCAGGTGAGAGATGGAGAGACAGGAACTCAGGTGAGAGATGGAGAGACAGGAACTCAGATGAGAGATGGAGAGGCAGGAACTCAGGTGAGAGATGGTGGAGACAGAAACTCAGGTGAGAGATGGAGGGACAGGAACTCAGGTGAGAGATAGAGAGACAGGAACTCAGGTGAGAGATGGAGAAACAGGAACTCCGGTGAGAGATGGAGAGACAGGAACTCAGGTGAGAGATGGAGAGACAGGAACTCAGGTGAGAGATGGAGTCAGGAACTCAGGTGTAAGATGGTGGAGAGACAGTAATTCAGGTGAGAGATGATGGAGGGACAGGAACTCAGGTGAGAGATGGTGGAGAGACAGTAATTCAGGTTAGAGATGAGGAGGGACAGGAACTCAGGTGAGAGATGGTGGAGAGACAGTAATTCAGGTGAGAGATGATGGAGGGACAGGAACTCAGGTGTAGGTTCCCTACAGTGGCTAAGGGAATGAAGACAAGTTAATGCATGTAAATTGTTAAGGTGTAGAAATGATAAAACTTGACCACTGATCGGGCTGGATAGTGAAGGAGAAGGTGAGTTAGGGGTGTCCTCTGCTTCCAGCAACAGAACGGTTCAGGGCAACAAACCTGGCACAGGTGGGAGCTACTAGGGGTCATGGAGGATGATGGGTTCAGTTTCCAACAGGTGGAATTTGCAGCGTCATGGGCTGTTTGAGAGGAGGGTTGGGTAGGAAATGTGCGTGTGAGGCTGAAGCTCCTTGCAGGGATGGGGCCGAGTGTTACTGGCCTGAGACTCAGTGGCATTTAGAAGGAAGTTCAAGAGGGGCGAGAGGAGACCAAGCAGGGAGGGGCAGGAGATATGGACCGAAGTCAGCCCTGGACCAACTCCCAGAGTGAGGCACGGGAAGAGGCAGGCGCTCCTGGAGGAGGCTGGGATGCAGTGGGGCCAGTGGGCCAGTGAGGTCAGGGGGACGGCGGGCCACAGAGCAGGAGGTGGGGGCGTCCCCATGCCGACACGCAGCCCCAGGGCCGCCCGCAGAGCCGCGACACCCAGGCCGCCAGCGCCGGCTTCACCTGGCTGCAGCGAGTCCGCTGGTGTGTCCAGTGACCCGAGCCTGTGCCTCCGGAGGACTCGCTGCATCAGAAAGTCTGAGGAAGAAAAGCTGTGAGCGCAAGTTATCCGTGGATTAAATATCGTTCCTTGGGTAACGCAGGCCGCGGGGTGAGGACGTGGTCGAATCACCAGGTGCCCCTGGGAGAGGTGGCGGTCTCCGGCGCAGAGGGCCGGGCTTGGTGCAGGTGCCAGCCCTGCTCTGGTGCTGCCCACGGGGCTCCAGCACAAGGCACAGCCGTGAGCTCCCACGGCCGCAAGAAGGGAAGGCCTGAGCCGTGGTGCGCCCGGACGCACGCGGACTGGCTGCAGGCGCACCGCATCCGCGAGCGAGGGCGGACGGTGTCCGAATCCGCCCGGGGGGCAGCAGCCCCGCTTCTCGCCTCCTCAGAAGAAAAAATTCAACTGAGGGGTCCAGGGCAGAAAGAGATCGAGCCAAGTTTCAGGGCAGGAGTGGAAGTTTATTAGAACGCCTTAGAGCAGGAACGAAAGGAAAGCACGTTTGCAAGAGGCCCAGGCGGGTACCGGAAGGCCACGTGCAGTGTGTCTCCTCCATCCTAGGGCTGTATACGCGGTTCCGGTTCCGGCTCCGGCGTGGGGTGCTTCCTCCCCCACGACGCTCCCCTCGGGGTGGGCTGCCCGCATGCGCAGAGCCCGCCTGACGCCCGGGAAGTGAGCACGCGCGGCGGGCCAGGAAGTGGTGCACATGCCCTTCGGAGGCTTCCTTCCCTTTTCCGGTGGTGTCCCGGGAAGGTCATGCTGCGCCATTTTGTCTCTAAATGCGCATGCCCAGCCTCACTTGCCCAATACCTGCGATTTTGTTGGAAGCCCTTTTTATCTCTTTGGGAAGTTGCTTCTTCCTGGTGCCTGCATTAGTGTGACGGCTGTGGATCATCAGGAGATTGTCTCTCCCTCGCTACGGCTGCTCTTTGTCATTTTTAGAGGGGCAGTGTGGTAACTGTGAACAAACATGACTGTGGTTGCCTGACATTCCTGGCAGGTGGGGGAGAGCCCTTTCCTGTCCCGCTTATGTCTGACTGCCTGTACCACGTGGGCTCGGACAAGGAGATCACAGGGTCTGCCTCTCGCCCTCTTCTTGCCGCTGCAATGGCTTTGCTCTCTGCAGCCTTGCTCCACGTTGGGGAGAGACCACCACCCAGGGCACAGCCTTGTAGGACCCCAAGCTCCACACACCAGAAAGAAAGCTCTCTCCAAAAGAGTCTTCCTTGGATCTCGCTTGTCATATCCACAGTGGAGAAAGTGGAGCCACAAACCTATGTGGTGACGGCTCTGGATGGCATTGAAGGGGCTCCCCAAAAGGAAGGACGAACATGCACTCTTTAGACACCACATCTAATGTCCCTCAACCTCAGTTACCCAGTCTGCAAAACACACAAGGAATCTAATATTATCACAGTACATGAGTATTAACGGAGAAACTGTACACACAGTTCTTGCCCCTTGGCCTGCACAAAATGGGCCTTCAACAAATAACAGATTTTTTTTTTAAAGACTATTTTTTTTTTTTTTTTTTTGAGATGGTGTCTTGCTCTGTCACCCACTCTGGAGTGCAGTGGCACAATCTCGGGTTCCCGGGTTCAAGTGATTTTCCTGCCTCAGCCTCCTGGGTAGCTGGGATTACAGGCACGTACCACCACACTTAGCTAATTTTTTTGTATTTTTAGTAGAAATGAGGTTTCATCATGTTGGCCAGGCTGGTCTCCAACTCCTGAGCCCACGTGATCCGTCTGCCTCGGCCTCCCAAAGTGCTGGGATTATAGTCGTGAACCACTGCTCCCAGCCAAGACTATTTTTTTTTTTAGGAATAGTTTTAGATTCGCAGCAAAATTGAGCAGAAGGTAGGAAGAATTCCCATCTACTTCCTGCCCTCACACAGACACAGTCTGGCCAGCTATCTGCATCCCCTACCAGAGGGGTACATTTGTTACAGTCAGTGAGCCTCCAGCAACACTTCATTCTCTCCCAAAGCCCCTAGTCTACATTAGGGCTCATTCTTGTCATTTTTAGAGGGGCAGTGTGGTAACGGTGCTGTACATTCTGTGGGTTTGGATAAGTAGATAATGGCGGGAATCCATCTTTTTAGTATTACACAGGGTATTTTCACCTCCAGAAAAATTGTGTGTGCTCTGCTGATTCATTCCTTCCCTCGAAAGCCCTGGCACCCACTTTTTACTGTCATCATAGGTTTGCCTTTTCCAGAATGTCATGCAGTTGGATCATGTAGTTTGTAGTCTTTGGGGATTGGCTTATTTCCCTTAGGAATATGCATTGAAATTTCCCTCGTGTCTTTTCGTGAACTGATAGCTCATTTCTTTTCAGTGCTGAAAACTGTTTTAAGGTCTGGATGTATTACAGTTTGTCTGTTCACCAATTGAAGGACATCTTGGTTGCTTCCAATTTTTGGCAATTACGTACAAAGCCGATTTAAACATCCCTATGTAGGCTTTTGTGTGGACATAAATTTTGAATTTCTTTGGGTAAATACGAAGGAGTGGAACTGCTGAATTGGATGGGAAGAGTATGTTTCGTTTTGTAAGAAACTCGCTAGACTGCGGTGGATGGGTTCTTTCGCCCTACATCCTCATGTTGTCGGCGTTTTGGGTTTTGGCTGTTTAGTACGTGTGTAAACTGTGTCGCTGTTGTTCTGATTTGCATTTCCCTGATGACGTGATGCTGAACATCTTTTCATATGCTTATTAGCCATCTGTGTATCTCCTCTAGCGAGGTATTTGTTAAGGTCCTTGCCCCATTTTTTAAAATGAGTTGTTTGTATTCTTATTGTTGAGTTTTTAAAGTTTTTGTATATTTTGGATACAGTCCTTTAATGTATGTCTCTTGCAGATATATTTTTTTCTCAGCTTGTGGCCTATCTTTTCATTTTCTTCACTGTGTCTTTTGCAGACCAGAAGTTTTAAAATCACTTCCAGCTTGTCAATTAGTTCTTTCATAAATAATGAATTTGATGTATCTAAAAGTCATTGCCAAACCCAAGGTCATCTAGGTTCTCTTCTGTGTTATCTTCTAGGAGTTTTATAGCTTTTTGCATTTTGTACTTATGTCTATGATCCACTTTGAATTAATGTTTGTGGATGGTGTAAGATCTGTGTCTAGATTCATTCTTTTATAGGATGTCAGTTGTTCCAGCACTGTTTACTGAAAAGACTAGCTTTGTTTCATTTTATTGCCTTTGTTCTTTTGTCAAAGACCAGTTCACTATATTTATGTGGATATGTTTTTGGACCTCTATTCTGTTCCATTGATCTGCTTTTTTGCCAATACCACACTGTTTTTAGAGTAAGCTGTAGCTTTAGAATAAGTCTTGAAGTCAGGTAGTGTCCATCCTCCAAGTTTGTTCTCCTTCAGTATTCTGTTGGCTAGTCTGGGTCGTTTGCCCCTTTTTATAACCTTTAGAATCAGTCCATCAAGATTCCCAAAATAACTTGCTGGGATTTTGATTGGGATTGCGTTAAATCTCCAGATTAAGTTGGGAAGAATCTTGATAGCTTGACAATATGGAGTCTTCCTATCCAGGGACATGAACTGTTTTCCTACTTACTTAGTTTTTTTTATTCCTCTTATCAAAGTTTCACAGTTTTCCTCATACAGATGTTTTGCATATTTTGTGAGATTTATTCTTAAGGTATTCCTTTGTTTTTTCAAGCGCTCTACTATCAATGGCGTTATGATTTTAATTTCAAGTCCCACTTGTTCATTGCTGTTAGGTAGGAAAGTGATTGGCTTTGCATATCAATCTTGTAGGCTGCCTCCTTGCTATTAGCATAAGCAGTCATTAGTTTCAGGAGTTTTTCCCTTGGTCAGTTCTCTCAGATTTTCTCATAGTCAGTTGTGTCATCTGCAAACAAAGACAACTTCATTTCTTTCTTCTCCTCTGTGTACCTTATATGTCATTTTCTTGTTTATTGCATTAGCTAGGACTTTTAGTGTGACGTTGCAAAGGAGCGTTGAGAGGTGATGCCCGTGCCTCGTTCCTGGTCTTAGTGGGGAAAGTTTTGAGTTTCTCACCATTAGGAATGGTGATGTTAGCTGTAGGTAGATTTGTAGATATTCTTTATCAAGTTGGGGAAAGTTCTCATCTATCTCAGTTATTTTTTTATAGCTGAATAAAAAGTATTACATCGAGTTCATGTTCAGAGCTGGTTAAGGCACCATCTCCATGAGGTTTCCGTGCACCGTGCAGTCCAGAGGCTGTGGTCATGGTGCTCCAGTTTCAGATGAAGAACCGAACTGGAGAGAGGCCCCAGAGCCGCCCTGGAGTATGAGGTGGAAAACACCAAGAGGCCTGCTTTTCCAGACCGTCTTTGAAGAGCTTTATCTTCAGGTACCAGTGCGGTGGGGGTGCGTGTCGGAGGAAGGATGACTAAGTTGGGGACCCCTCATGGCAGGGACAGCTCGGGAGTGGGGGACCACGCTTCTTTGTTGGCCTTCTGCATCTGGTTTCATTCTGTCCTGAGAGACATCAGGTCTGTTAGCTCCTGCTGTGTCTCCGAAGCCTCAGAGCTATGGATAAGTGAATGAGAAACACTTTGTGAATGTTTTCTGTTTCTCTTCTTCTTTAAAAATGACAGCAAGAAAGAGAAAAGAGGGAAGAAAGAGGACCTATTCCTTATCTCCCTCTGACAGCCTCGTTGGCCTCCTGCCGCTGTCCCTTCCCCAGTATTCCGGTGGCCCGGGGGGTCTGGCTTGCTGGTGCCACAGCTGGGAATGATACAGAGATTTCAGAATGTCCAGGTCTTAGCATCACATCCCAGCTCGATTTCAACATTTCAGTGTTCATTTATAGTAGATCCTATTTAAAGAATATGTTCTAGAAATTACTTTAAAATATTGTCTAAACACAGAGACTTAGCCACCCTCCCAAGGACCTGTCCTCAGCTGAACTCTTGTGTCAGCCTTAAATAATATTTGATAATAATAATATCAAAAACTGGGCCAATAATGCTGTCTTGTTGCAATTGGAAAGGCGTCGTCCTCTGAGATTATCATCTCCCAAGCAGGATTTATTTTCTTCTCCTGAGCTCAAGGTGAATTCTCGCTAAGCGAATGCCTGAGAAGTCTGGACTCATTAGTGGGGATTGTAAGATGAGTGCCTCTGATTATCAGGCAGGAGTGCTGGATTCGTGAAGCCGGCCCAGGGGTGCTTTGGGCTTTTCGCTAATATATTGCAAATGAGAAGAGAACTGGCAAGTGAAGATCCGATTTGCTCGGCCAGCCACCCTCGATTTTCTCTTCGCATTTCCTATTGAGACAGATTTTAAATGGTTGAGCAACCTCCCGCGCAGGCTCAGGAACCTGCAGTGTCAGCACGGGCCAGGTCCTTTCTAATGGGTGGGAAGAGCAATGTCAAACGGCACGTCACATCAGAAGGCTCTCGGCATTGCGACCCAGGGGCTGGATTTCCATGTTATCTCGCAGAATGGCACAGTTCCCATGGAGTGGCATGGAGTGAGAATGTGGTCGTAGGGCCCTAGTTCTCTGTTAGGGCACTCCTAACTGGAGACCAGCTGAACACAGAGCAAGTACAATTTACCAAGACAGAGAAAATGTGACGGGGGTGAGCATTTCTATCTGAAGCAGAGCTGGGCTACATTGACCAGCATGTGACAGGGCAGGGGAAGGGCAGCTCTGCAACGAGCATGAACCCGCCAAATGGTCCAGAGTCCTGAGTTCTCCTTTGTAGGACCACAGGCAATTCATGCAGCTTCTCCCTCTGTTTTCCCACCTGTGAACCTGAGGACTGCGATGATGCCCTGTTTGCGGAAAATCGGGCAGGATCATGAACCTGAAAACACTTTGCAGGAGCCCCACTCTATGTAAAGTGCATGTGCAGTGAGGATGAAACTGTGCAATGAAATATTTTTCTATTGTGCTGTTGCTGAAGATCAGTAAAACCAAAAGCTATAAGAAGGCACCCTTAAGTTGCCAGAATAGCCAAGAAAAAGAACCAAGGGGGAAAATTGGCCCTATCAGGTATCAGAACATAACCAGAAGTGATTGGAATAAGTGTGATACAGGTGCAAAAAAATCATTTTCATTGTTTAAAGTCAACAGTCCAGATTCATTCAAATTAGTAAGGGAAATTATGGGTTATTTAATAAATGTCCTGATAAGGACAGTCATTTATGTGTTTGCCCAGTTCATGGTATTGACAAAAGTAATCTGCAAATAACCGATCGTTACTTCAAAAACTCTAAAACGTACACGTGAAAATATGTTTCAGTTTTCCGAGGTAGGAGTAGGTCTTCTTAAGATTAAAAAAAAGACAAATAAATGAAAGACTGATAAATTTGACCTCCTAAAATTTTTGATGTTTAAAATTTTAAAAATAACTTTTATTGGAATATCATATACAAGCAGAAAAGAACAAAACGTGTCTTTCTGTGACTAGCAGAATGGTGCGTAAGTGATGCTAGGTGATTTCTTGTCTAGGGCTTGAGAAATCTGCAGTTTCTGCTAAAAAGGCTTGGAATCCTCCCTCTTAAAAGCAAACTGTGAGAAACCCAAGTCTCGTGAGGATAACTGAGGCACTGAGCTCCCAGCCAGCATCCAGCTTCCTGTACGTGAGTGAGCCATCTTGAATGTTTCAGCCTGCTCAGTCCCTAGGATTGCAGCCTAGTGCAGTGGAGCCAACTCTCAGAAAATAAAGGTAAAACCTTATTGTTTTAAGCCGCTAAGCTTTAGGATGCTTTGTTTATGCAGCAACAGATAACAGAAACACTTCTTTCTTCAGGGCTGTGCAGAATCACTTCTATCTAAACCACGCATCACAAGGAGGGGCTTGTTCAGGGATCTCCTCTTCCATTCCTCCAGTCCACTGAGACCACGGAGTTTACTTAGGTCTCTTTATCTCAATAACACGCTGAAGTTCTCTATGTGGAGTTCTTGCACATTTTGTTTGATTTATTCCTTTTATATTTCTTGAATATACAATTATGTCATCTGTCAAAACCAGAGGGCTTTTTTCTCACTTTCTAATTCTTATGGTTGATTAATTTTTTAATTTTTATTTAATTTTTATTTTATAGAACTGGCAAGGACCTCCAGGACAGTGTTGAACAGAAGTGGCCAAAGAGGCATCCTCTCAACTCACAGTCTCAGAAGGAAGGTTTTCAGTTACTGTGATATTTGGGTGAAGACTGCTCTTTTCCTTTTTTCAGATTATGGAAATTCCCTTTTATTTCTAATTTGGCAATAATGTTTAAATGATACATTTTTGCTAAATTTTATTACCTTCTTTTGATTGCACATTTGAGATGATGCTGTGGCTTTTTCCTTTATTTTAGTAATGGGTTGAATTATATTCATTGATTTTCAAATGTTAAACCAGCCTTGCCTTCCTGGTATACATCTAATTTGGTTGCCATGTATTTCCTTTTTCTATGTTGCTACACTCAGGTTTTTTTTTTTGTATCTATGTTTTAAAGATAAATTGACCTGTAGTTGCACAGGGCAGAGGAAGGTGCAGAGGTGGGACCCTGGCAGCCTCTGTGGAGCTGGTCACCTGCAGTCCTGGTGGGGTCCCCCAGCATGTGGGGCTACACATTCCTCTCTGAATGTAGGCAAGCGGGAGGCTGAGTCTTTCTCTCCAATGCCTGGATGTGTGTGGAAGAGCCGGGCCTGGCCTGTTTATGCCCCAGCAAGTGTCTGTGCACTCGGGCACTCACTCACTCTCTGTCCGTATTCTCTTTGAAATGGGTGGGTCAGTGCTTTGGCTTCAGATAGAATACTGACAATGAATATGAAAGCATGACAACATTTGAAATTTCCAACTAATAAAAATCATGCCACAAACACAAACAGATCTGCTGGCGATGCAGACGTCCTGCAATGTTGTGAGGCCAAGAGAGGTGGCTCTCCGGCTGGTGTGCTCGGTCAGTGGAGGCGTCAGCTCCTCAGGAAGCAACTGGACCCGGTCCTCTCCCAGCCTCCGGTCTCTGCCCTGCTCTTCAGGTCATATTGAGCATGACAACAACTTCCCAAGTGAGGACAGGTGTGAGCTGCTGCCATTTAACAATACTACTATGTACGGAGTTGTCACAGGCCAGGCACAAAATCTCAGAGCTACACGAAATGACAGTGGTAATATTGTCCCCATTGTACAGATGAGGAAACTGAGGCTGGGAGAGGGCAGCGAGGTCCTCGAAGTGGCATTCATGTTCGTACACGGCAGAATCAATATTTGATTTAAATGCCCGGCCCTCAGAGTGCACGTTCGCGATCACCACGGGTGCTGCCCATGTGTTTGCTCAGGGGCCACAGAGGTGACAACACACTTGGGAGAAGAAAGTGATTTGCAGATACAGTGTTTAAAAATTGATTTTACAAGAATCCGTTCCCTTCTGGGGATCAGGGGGAGTCAAAATGTAGCATGTAAGCTGGCAGATAGAGTCAACATGTAGCATGTAAGCTGGCAGATAGAGTCAACATGTAGCATGTAAGCTGGCAGATAGAGTCAACATGTAGCATGTAAGCTGGCAGGTAGAGTCAACATGTAGCATGTAAGCTGGCAGAGTCAACATGTAGCATGTAAGCTGGCAGAGTCCACATGTAGCATGTAAGCTGGCAGATAGAGTCAACATGTAGCATGTAAGCTGGCAGGCAGAGTCAACATGTAGCATGTAAGCTGGCAGGCAGAGTCAACATGTAGCATGTAAGCTGGCAGGTAGAGTCAACATGTAGCATGTAAGCTGGCAGATAGAGTCAACATGTAGCATGTAAGCTGGCAGAGTCAACATGTAGCATGTAAGCTGGCAGGTAGAGTCAACATGTAGCATGTAAGCTGGCAGGCAGAGTCAACATGTAGCATGTAAGCTGGCAGAGTCAACATGTAGCATGTAAGCTGGCATGTAGAGTCAACATGTAGCATGTAAGCTGGCAGATAGAGTCAACATGTAGCATGTAAGCTGGCAGAGTCAACATGTAGCATGTAAGCTGGCAGGCAGAGTCAACATGTAGCATGTAAGCTGGTAGAGTCAACATGTAGCATGTAAGCTGGCAGGTAGAGTCAACATGTAGCATGTAAGCTGGCATGTAGAGTCAACATGTAGCATGTAAGCTGGCAGAGTCAACATGTAGCATGTAAGCTGGCAGGTAGAGTCAACATGTAGCATGTAAGCTGGCAGATAGAGTCAACATGTAGCATGTAAGCTGGCAGATAGAGTCAACATGTAGCATGTAAGCTGGCAGATAGAGTCAACATGTAGCATGTAAGCTGGCAGAGTCAACATGTAGCATGTAAGCTGGCAGATAGAGTCCACATGTAGCATGTAAGCTGGCAGATAGAGTCAACATGTAGCATGTAAGCTGGCAGATAGAGTCAACATGTAGCATGTAAGCTGGCAGAGTCCACATGTAGCATGTAAGCTGGCAGAGTCAACATGTAGCATGTAAGCTGGCAGACAGAGTCAACATGTAGCATGTAAGCTGGCAGGTAGAGTCAACATGTAGCATGTAAGCTGGCAGGTAGAGTCAACATGTAGCATGTAAGCTGGCAGAGTCAACATGTAGCATGTAAGCTGGCAGGTAGAGTCAACATGTAGCATGTAAGCTGGCAGGTAGAGTCAACATGTAGCATGTAAGCTGGCAGGCAGAGTCAACATGTAGCATGTAAGCTGGCAGATAGAGTCAACATGTAGCATGTAAGCTGGCAGATAGAGTCAACATGTAGCATGTAAGCTGGCAGATAGAGTCAACATGTAGCATGTAAGCTGGCAGAGTCCACATGTAGCATGTAAGCTGGCAGAGTCCACATGTAGCATGTAAGCTGGCAGACAGAGTCAACATGTAGCATGTAAGCTGGCAGGTAGAGTCAACATGTAGCATGTAAGCTGGCAGGTAGAGTCAACATGTAGCATGTAAGCTGGCAGAGTCAACATGTAGCATGTAAGCTGGCAGGTAGAGTCAACATGTAGCATGTAAGCTGGCAGAGTCAACATGTAGCATGTAAGCTGGCAGATAGAGTCAACATGTAGCATGTAAGCTGGCAGAGTCCACATGTAGCATGTAAGCTGGCAGAGTCAACATGTAGCATGTAAGCTGGCAGACAGAGTCAACATGTAGCATGTAAGCTGGCAGGTAGAGTCAACATGTAGCATGTAAGCTGGCAGGTAGAGTCAACATGTAGCATGTAAGCTGGCAGAGTCAACATGTAGCATGTAAGCTGGCAGGTAGAGTCAACATGTAGCATGTAAGCTGGCAGACAGAGTCAACATGTAGCATGTAAGCTGGCAGGTAGAGTCAACATGTAGCATGTAAGCTGGCAGAGTCCACATGTAGCATGTAAGCTGGCAGATAGAGTCAACATGTAGCATGTAAGCTGGCAGAGTCCACATGTAGCATGTAAGCTGGCAGAGTCAACATGTAGCATGTAAGCTGGCAGACAGAGTCAACATGTAGCATGTAAGCTGGCAGGTAGAGTCAACATGTAGCATGTAAGCTGGCAGGTAGAGTCAACATGTAGCATGTAAGCTGGCAGAGTCCGCATGTAGCATGTAAGCTGGCAGATAGAGTCAACATGTAGCATGTAAGCTGGCAGATAGAGTCAACATGTAGCATGTAAGCTGGCAGATAGAGTCAACATGTAGCATGTAAGCTGGCAGAGTCCACATGTAGCATGTAAGCTGGCAGATAGAGTCAACATGTAGCATGTAAGCTGGCAGATAGAGTCAACATGTAGCATGTAAGCTGGCAGAGTCCACATGTAGCATGTAAGCTGGCAGGTAGAGTCAACATGTAGCATGTAAGCTGGCAGATAGAGTCAACATGTAGCATGTAAGCTGGCAGGTAGAGTCAACATGTAGCATGTAAGCTGGCAGAGTCCACATGTAGCATGTAAGCTGGCAGGTAGAGTCCACATGTAGCATGTAAGCTGGCAGATAGAGTCAACATGTAGCATGTAAGCTGGCAGAGTCCACATGTAGCATGTAAGCTGGCAGATAGAGTCAACATGTAGCATGTAAGCTGGCATGTAGAGTCAATATGTAGCATGTAAGCTGGCATGTAGAGTCACATGTAGCATGTAAGCTGGCAGATAGAGTCAACATGTAGCATGTAAGCTGGCATGTAGAGTCAACATGTAGCATGTAAGCTGGCAGAGTCAACATGTAGCATGTAAGCTGGCAGATAGAGTCAACATGTAGCATGTAAGCTGGCAGATAGAGTCAACATGTAGCATGTAAGCTGGCATGTAGAGTCAACATGTAGCATGTAAGCTGGCAGAGTCAACATGTAGCATGTAAGCTGGCAGATAGAGTCAACATGTAGCATGTAAGCTGGCATGTAGAGTCAACATGTAGCATGTAAGCTGGCATATAGAGTCAACATGTAGCATGTAAGCTGGCAGATAGAGTCAACATGTAGCATGTAAGCTGGCATGTAGAGTCAACATGTAGCATGTAAGCTGGCATGTAGAGTCAACATGTAGCATGTAAGCTGGCATGTAGAGTCAACATGTAGCATGTAAGCTGGCAGATAGAGTCAACATGTAGCATGTAAGCTGGCATGTAGAGTCAACATGTAGCATGTAAGCTGGCATGTAGAGTCAACATGTAGCATGTAAGCTGGCATGTAGAGTCAACATGTAGCATGTAAGCTGGCAGATAGAGTCAACATGTAGCATGTAAGCTGGCATGTAGAGTCAACATGTAGCATGTAAGCTGGCAGAGTCAACATGTAGCATGTAAGCTGGCAGATAGAGTCAACATGTAGCATGTAAGCTGGCAGATAGAGTCAACATGTAGCATGTAAGCTGGCATGTAGAGTCAACATGTAGCATGTAAGCTGGCATGTAGAGTCAACATGTAGCATGTAAGCTGGCAGATAGAGTCAACATGTAGCATGTAAGCTGGCATGTAGAGTCAACATGTAGCATGTAAGCTGGCATGTAGAGTCAACATGTAGCATGTAAGCTGGCAGATAGAGTCAACATGTAGCATGTAAGCTGGCATGTAGAGTCAACATGTAGCATGTAAGCTGGCAGAGTCAACATGTAGCATGTAAGCTGGCAGATAGAGTCAACATGTAGCATGTAAGCTGGCATGTAGAGTCAACATGTAGCATGTAAGCTGGCATGTAGAGTCAACATGTAGCATGTAAGCTGGCAGAGTCAACATGTAGCATGTAAGCTGGCATGTAGAGTCAACATGTAGCATGTAAGCTGGCAGGTAGAGTCAACATGTAGCATGTAAGCTGGCAGATAGAGTCAACATGTAGCATGTAAGCTGGCAGGTAGAGTCAACATGTAGCATGTAAGCTGGCAGATAGAGTCAACATGTAGCATGTAAGCTGGCAGATAGAGTCAACATGTAGCATGTAAGCTGGCAGGTAGCATGTGACAGGAAAATTAGGTTTTATTCTTACCACGGGATGATTTTCACTTGAAACCCTGTCTTCCTGCCTCCTCTTCCGTTTTAAAAAATACTTGAACCTTTCTGCAGAAGCCTTCTGGAGGGGCGGCTTCTTCCTGCATGAGAAGCCAACGCAGCAATGCTCGGCCATCGCGCGCCTTCGGGCCGGTTTCCCGTCCGTTGCTTGTCTGTGCAGACACCACGAGCAACACTCCTTCAGCTGGGAGTGCAGGAAACCCTGCTCCTTCCCGGCAAGTTCAGGACGTGTCTGGCTCCAGGCATGGATGGTTCCAGTTTGAGAGGCCAGACTTCACAAAAAAGCAAAACAAAGAAGCGGGGCACCCAGTGACATTTGAATTTCACATAAAAAGGATTTTTTTCTAGTTCAAATATGCCCCCTCTTCATTCTCGATCTAAAATTCCACTTTAAGCAGGCGTCCGGCATCTCATCTGGCAATCTGAACCTGAGGGCCCAGGTCAGCGCTGCGCCGCCTGTCACTTCCGTCTCGGAGGCTTCTCTCTGCGGATGGGTTTCCTTCTGTTCATGTCGGCAGTTGTTGTCATGCTATCTTCCTTTCCGGAGAAAGGGAGGCCTCTTCTCTTCTCAGGGTTGTATGCGGAATTTCAGGGGCATGGCCTGTGTGCACCCCTCAACTCACAACGGGGGCTGTGGAGTGGAGGTGTGTCCCCAGTGGAAGGCTGTGATGGGGGAGGTGAGTTGCCCCCCTCAAGTGACTCGCACTGTGCCCCTTGCAGGAAGAGGGGTCCACTGCCAGAAATCAGCGCAAGGGATACCTCGCTGGCTGGACAAGACCGAGAGGACTCCTGGGCCACGGCGCCACCCTCGCCTGACAACCAGAGGACCAACTCCCATCTAGCTGCAACCCACAAAGTGGCTCCGGGCTGCAGGTCAGGGGCCCTGGGCTGCGCCTTTCACTGCGGAAGGAGTTTCTGCCGTTTGAGTTATTTTCCCTTGTGTTATAAAGGAATTCTTCTGGGCCAGCACTAACATTCCTTCCCCCCATTTTGTAAACCGGCCCACAGGCCCCAGCTGTGGTCCTAAGGAGGGAAGAGAGTGGGAGACAGAACTCCACGGGCATGGGGCATCTGTGTCAGGGGTCCCGGAGGACGCAGAGACAGAATTCGAACCTCTGCTCCAAAGGTTCTTATTAAATTTTAAGCTTGGCAGAAAATTGACCATTCTGGAAATAATATGACCAGTGATAATGATACTAATTAAAAAAAAGTGTTCTAGGCTCAGAGCCAGACCATGCGGGAAGTGTGGAGTCCGGAACTACAGGTAATGGGGTCGTGGCGCGTTCTTTGGGATGTGTCAAAACTTAATGAAAAACAACAGATATTTCGTTGAGCCACTGCTGCAGGCGAACAGGGGAGATGTGCAGAGGCAGCAGATAGAGCCTTGTCTCCAGCACCAGCAGCACTGTGTGGGGCACAGACAAGGCCGCAGGAGGTGGACCACAGCGAGAGCCAAAGGTGGGGACAGTGGTCCCAGGGCAGCTCCCATGGGACTGGAGAGCAGAAGCCGCCAAGGAGTGGTCGCAGAGCCTCTGACCCCTCCTCTCCATGCACCTCTTATCTGGGCTGGGCTAGGGAAGGGTGAGAGAAAATCAGCTCCTTCCCGTTGCGTGTGTTCCCAGGAAGGCGACCAGATGGCAGCCAGGCCCCAGTGACACTCAAACATTCCAGCTCATGCTTGGGAGGGAGGAGAAAGGCAGTGGCTAAACAGGACAAATCCAACTGCTGCCTTCCGAGATGGGGCCTGCCAGGCAGCGGGAAGGAGGGACGGAGGTTCACGTCCTCTCTGGACTCAGGCGCCCTCATACTCACTACAGGAGGCTTGTCAGGACACCACGGCCTCTGGCCTTAGGTTCTTTTCTTTTGTTTTTTTAATTTTACTGTAAGTTCTGGGGTACATGGGCAGAATGTGCAGGTTTGTTCCATAGGTGTACATGTGCCATGGTGGTTTGCTGCACCCGTCAACCTGTCATCTAGGTTTTACGCCCCGTATTCATTAGGTATTTGTCCTAATGCGCTCCCTCCCCTTCCCCCTTCATCAAAAACCCGGCAGGCCCTGGTGTGTGATGTTCCCCACCTTGTGTCCATGTGTTCTCCCTGTTCAACTTCCACTTATGAGTGAGAACATGCAGTGTTTGCTTTTCTGTTCCTGTGTTAGCTTGCTGAGAATGATGGCTTTCAGCTTCATTTATGTCCCTGCAAAGGACATGATCTCATCTTTTTTTTTTTATGGCTGCATAGTATTCCATGTGGCCTCAGGCTCCTGTTTCTCTGAGGCGACCACTGCCTGGGACTGGCAAGGCAAGGCATGGGAATTAATTAGGCTTTCCATCTGCTTTAGATAGAGCATAAAGGAGAAAAATAAAAACAGTCTTCATGGCCCGACCCTCTAATGAAATGTGCACCCAGCACACCTCTTCCTCAAGGTATGCCGAGGTGTGCCTCCTCCACCTCTTCCTCAAGGTATGCCGAGGTGTGCCTCCTCCACCTCTTCCTCAAGGTATGCCGAGGTGTGCCTCCTCCACCTGTTCCTCAAGGTACGTCGAGGTGTGCCTCATCTACCTCTTCCTCAAGGTATGCTGGGGTGTGCTTCCTCTACCTCTTCCTCAGAGTAAAACTAGTTCCCCGGGGCGTGGACACCATTAATTCCATGAGGCCCCTGCAGTGGCATGGATGGGCCAGGACGCTCGGGGCTGTGAATCTCAGCTCTGCCGAGTGACCCTGGGTCTGTGACTAGACATCTCTGAGCCTCAGCTTCCTCATCTGTAATACACGGATATAAGACCCTCATCACAGGGCTGTGAGCAGGTCACTAGACACGCTTTCCCCAGCCTGTGAGCACACACTGTACCCAAGAGGACAGATGAAGGAAGGGGCATTGCCATATCAGTCCCACCAGCACTTAGGGAGCAGCCTGTTGTATTAGCCCATTTTCACTCTGCTGATCAGGACAGACTGAGACGGGGCAGTTTACAAAAGAAAGAGGTTTAATGGAACTTACAGTTGCACCTGACTTGGGAGGCCTCACAATCATGGCAGAGGGCAAGGAGGAGAAGTCCCATCTTACACGGCAGCAGGCAAAGACAGAATGACAAAGATGCAATAGCGGAAGCCCCTGATAGAACCATCAGATCTCAGGAGACGTATTTGCTCCCTCCAGACAGTGCGGGGGAAACTCCCCCCATGATTCAAGTGTCCCCACCAGGCCACTCCCACAACATGGGAGGGAGTCACAAGAGTACAATTCCAGAAGAGCCTGGGTGGGGACACAGCCCAAACCATGTCACCTATCCGGCGCTCAGCCCTGAGCTAGGCTTGGATAAATTATGTTTATTTCCACACAAGGAGTTTATGATCCTATTTTAGGATGGGAATACTCTATCATGCAGTCAGTTCATAAATACTTAATATACATATAATTCCAGAGTAAATTATTTAGTGCAAAAGATAAATTCTGCAGGAGCGTGGGGAAAGGGAGATAGACGAGGAGTCAGAGTATAGCGACCATGCTAAAGATGGCTAACTTTTTACGGGCTTCTCAGCTGATCACTCAGCATTAGGCTCAGCTGCAGGTAGCAGAAATCCCATCGAAGACCATCTTCAGCTGGATAAAGGTTGCTATCTCTCTTACGTAGACTAAACCCGGAGGTAGGCAGTCTGGGGTTGGCTTGCTGCTCTTCACCTCACTCCCACCGCTGGTTATCAGGGATCCAGACTTTTTCTGTCTTTCTGCTCCACAGTCTTCAATGTGTAGCTTCTGGCCCCCACGTTTCCTCATGGTTGCAAAATGGCTGCTGCAGCTGTATCCATCGTGTCTGCATTCCATCCAGCCGAATCTGCCCCTTCAAGTGGCTTTCCTGGGAGCCCCACCCAACAGCTTTCTATTGCCAAGGAGCCAGGAAATTTAGTTTCATAAGAAGGACACCTTAGTGTTTTTAACGTATAGGTGTTTTGTGACTGAAGGAGAAGAGTAGCTATTGCGTACACGGTAGAGAGCCCCTGAGGGTGAGTACCTTCTCCCTCGTTCCACCTGCCCTGTCTCCTCTTTCTCTCCACTCCACCCTCTTTCCACTATCCCAGACTCATCTTAGACCGGCCCCCTGCGGGACGCCTCGGTTCCGTGTGTGTTGTATGCTTCCACACGGCAGCCCCTTTACCTGGACAGTCTGTTTGTCTAGCTAGACTGCTTCATTTGCCGTGGTGTATCCAGAGCTGAGTGCAGGGCACGCAGCAAGGTTTCACCAGGACCACAGGGGATGAAGGTTCAGCGCAGCGTGCATTACCTGTTCTATGCAGGTGGCCTCGGGCGCAAGCACCCAGGTGAGGTGGAGGCAGGAGGACAAGTGAACCAGTGGCCAGGTCAGACCTCTGTGAACGATCACTACTTCACTGAAGTCCTTTTGGTCATTGGGTTTTATTCTAAACACTGATTTGGCCCAGCCCCCTCTTCACTGATCATTATTCCGTTGGTGTGATTATTGTCTTCTGCTTAACAAAAGGACAGTTTTGACTAGGGAGCATCTTCCCAGACTATGTCAGCTGGCTGGAGAGGCCAAGGTCTGTGTTAAAGAAACACGGTGGAGACGGAGGAGAGCCCAGCCGGTAAACACCTGAGGAGATGACCCAGGTGGGCGTGAGGAGCAGCCATCAGGGACTTCTCTTCTCATTAGGAAATACCTATTGCTTAGGAGAATGTTATCTGTTTGTTGGTGGGGGTCAGGGGGCAGGGGTGGATCAAGAAAACAGAAAGTACAAAAAGGCAAAAATTGGGCTGGGCGTGGTGGCTCACACCTGTAATCCCAGCACTCTGGGAGGCTGAGGCTGGCAGATCACCTGAGGTCAGGAGTTCAAGACCAGCCTGACCAACATGGAGAAACCCAGTATCTACTAAAATCACAAAATTAGCCAGGGCTGGTGGTGCATGCATGTCATCTCAGCTACTTGGGAGGCTGAGACAGGAGAACTGCTCGAACCCAGGGGGTGGAGGTTGTGGTGAGCCGAAATCGCACCATTGCACTCCAGCCTGGGCGATAAGAATGAAACTCTGTCTCAAAAAGAAAAAAGGCAAACATTTATTCCATCTCATCATCTGGAAATCACTACCATTGTTTTAGACTCTTGTTTTAGGTTGAGGGGTACATGTGTTGGCTGGTTGTATAGGTACACTCCTGTTTGGGGTTTGTCATATAGATTATTTTATCACCCAGGTACTAAGCCTAGTACCCAGTAGTTATTTTCTCTGCTTCTCTCCCTCCTCCCGCGCTCCACTCTCTGATGGGCCCCAGTGGCTGTTGTTCCCCTCTATGTGTCCATGAGTTCTTATCCTTTACCTTCCACTTATCAGTGAGAACATGTGGGATTTGGTTTCCTGCTCCTGCTAAGGATAATGCCCTCCAGCTCTGTCCATGTTCCTGCAGAAGACGAGATCTTGTTCCCCACTGCGGCTGCAGAGTGCTCCATGGTGTGTGTGGACCACATCTGTTGAAGTCCAGTCTGCCACTGATGGTGTTTAGGTGGATTCCATGTCTTTGCTATTGAGAATGGCACGGCTGTGAACGCACGTGTGTCCGTGTCTTTATGGCACAATGATTTCTATTCCTTTGGGTCTATATCCGGTTACGGTATTGCTGGGCTGAATGGGAGTTCGGTTATAGGTCTTGAGGAATCACCAGCCTTCTTGGAAATCACTACTGCTAATGTTTCATAAACGTAACTTTAGAGCTTTCACAATGGGTATATTCTCCCAGAGGAGTAGATGGAAGTGATTTCACACACATGAAATACATCATGTATTAGATTTCATACTGCTTGTATTTAACTCAAGAGAATGAATCTGAAACTGAACGTGAAGGAAATGGCTGAATGAAGATGCTTTTTTTTTCCCATAAGTGATATTAATGGTTTTTCCTAAAAATCTAAAATTCAAAAAGTTAAGCTACAAAGTTGGGGTTAGGGTCAACTTCTCTCTTTTTTTAAATTTTTAATCTAACGTTATAACTTAAAAAGCTCTGTTGGTTTCTTCCCCTTGAATTTGCACAGTTCATGTCTCCTACCCACTTTTCTTCCTCCACCACGACTGTTGTTGGCTAGACTATTTTTACGGACTTGCATTTTATGTCATCTACATTCTGTTCTGTGCCACCATTACCATGTGTTTCATCTGAGACCCTTCCAGATTCCAATACATTGAGCATTCTTTCCTTCCAGCTTCTTCAGGCCTGAATTCTAACACGTTTATGGTTCAAATGCTGTACAGCTAAATTTTTCTCATCAAGTATCTTCATCAAGAAGGGCTCCTGGGTGCTGTGGTGATGAGGATACCCCTTAGCAGGTTCCATGTACAGTTGACCCCTGAACAGCAGGGGTTTGAACTGCACGGATCCACGGATCCACAGATTTTCTTCCGCCCCTGCCGCCCTCCTCTGCCTCCTCCTCCACAGCCTCCTCGGTGTGAAGACGATGAGAATGAAGACCTAATGCCCATCCATCTCTGCTTAAATAGTGAATCTCTTTTCTCTTCCTCGTTGTTTCTCCTAAAAACGTTTTCTTTCCTCTAGTTCACTTGATTATAAGAACACAGTATATAAAGTAAATAACATACAAATAGTTGTTTATCGACCGTGTGTGTTATCAGCAAGGCTTTTGGTCAATGGGCTATGAAGAGTTATATTTTTTATTGAATGGGGGGGTCGACACTGCTAGCACCCCCTTGAACGAGCTGTTCAAGGGTCCACCATCACTCTCGGGTGCCTTTTCCCTCAGGAGGACCTGGCACCTGACCTGAAATGGCTGGCATAAGCGTAGCTGGGCAGGGGGATGCCTCTGCCTCGGAGGTGGCTTTTCCCTGGCCCGGACACTTCGATGACATTTTATCACCCCAGAGACTCAGTGACTCCAGGAAAAAATGTCCCTTTAATCTGCAGGTACAGACTTGGTTTGTTCAGAAATATCGTTCCAATTTTGTAAATATATCCTTCCTGTTCTTTTTATTTCTGTTTCAGTTACGCCAGTTGTGCCTGTACTGGGCTCATCTTCATGTTTAATCAGGTTGAATCCTGTGAAATTGTCATTTTGACCACCTTTGGAAACCCATAAAAATGCAGAGAGAGGTGCTCATTCCTGTGGTTCCAGTTAACATTCCTCTCTTTGCCCGGTGTTTCCCGTTGCATTCTCCGTGGATGTCAGTAGGTCCTCCCTGCATGTACCAGATCAGGGCTAGCTGTGTTTACCCGGCTCCTTGTGGCTTCTGATAAAAGGTATTACTTCTCTAATGAAGAATTAGCAGCCTCAATTCGTTTCTGTATCTCTGCAACTTGGCTTTGCATTTTACTCTGTTGTCTCATTTTATGTTTGAATTCTTTTCTCAGTGACTTCTTACTCTTTATTTTTAGCAAACTTTCACATCATTCTCTATCGGAAGCAACTGTAGGTTTAAGCTTTGTATTTGTCATGCGACTTCTCTGTTTTTTCTCTCAGCTGTCCTCTGCCCAGGTCCTCCTGTGCCTGCCTGCCTCCCTCGCTTCCTTCCAGCCACCCTCCCTGCCTCCCTGCCTGCCTGCCTGCCTGCCTGCCTTCTTTTTGAGCTCCCTCAACATGGGCAGCCCTGCGAGTCTTCTCTCCACCTAAACAGACTGCAGAGCTTCCCTTGGAGGGATGGGTTCTGTGTCCTCCCTGCTCCGGTGGGGCTTGAAGGTACAGCTGGAAGCTCTCCTCTTCGTGCCATTTTGTTAGTAGTCTGGGACCGTGGAGGAACTCCTACAAGTTCTGGGACCGTGGAGGAACTCCTGCCAGTTCTGGGACCCTGGAGGAACTCCTACAAGTTCTGGGACCGTGGAGGAACTCCTACAAGTTCTGGGACCGTGGAGGAACTCCTGCCAGTTCTGGGACCGTGGAGGAACTCCTACAAGTTCTGGGACCGTGGAGGAACTCCTGCCAGTTCTGGGACCGTGGAGGAACTCCTACCAGTTCTGGGACCGTGGAGGAACTCCTGCCAGTTCTGGGACCCTGGAGGAACTCCTACAAGTTCTGGGACCGTGGAGGAACTCCTGCCAGTTCTGGGACCGTGGAGGAACTCCTACAAGTTCTGGGACCGTGGAGGAACTCCTGCCAGTTCTGGGACCGTGGAGGAACTCTTGCAAGTTCAGGTTACAGCCAGTTCTGCAGGCAATGCCCTGGGGTTTCCGTTTATTGCCCCTATTTAGAATGGAGTTTGTTTTCTGCCAGAGACAAGGACCCCTGGGTGGGCTCCTCCCATCCCGGTGGGAACTGAGAAAGAGGGGGATGGGGCAGGGTGGGAGCTGCCCCGGGATGTCCCACGGGATCCCCGGTCCTGCATGGGTCTTGTTCTCTTTCCCATTTCTTTCCTCCTCCTCATGTGTCTGCTCCTGTGGAATATTCCGCCCTGGATAAGTGCGGCCAGTCGGTCATCTCGTTTTCCTCTCCAGCTCCTCCTCCTGCTCATCTCTGGGGCTCCTTGGAGGTAAGAGGTAGGTGAGGGCTTCAGCCGCAGAGACTGTCCTCCAGCTGCTGACCGGTGTTTCTTTTGGAATTTAGGTGTATTTGGGAAGAAGCTCAGAGTGATGTCCACGGACCCTCGTCCCCAGGATTCCGTTTCTCAGGGCAGGAGGCTGTGGATTCCCACGCTTTTTCTTCCTGGACTTCACTATTACAAGATGATGACACGAAGCTAGTCTCTATTCCCTGGATGGTACTACTGTGTTTCTAAACCAGTTTTCACTGACTGCTTATTGTTCAGTTCTATTAGGGTTTACGGGACGCTTCTGTGGTCTGGCTTTATATGGAGAAGGACCCTTAGTGTGTTTTAAATATAACTCAAAATGTAAAAGTCATTTCCACAAGGCTCATTTTCACGGTGCTCAATTCCTAGCCTTCCTCCCAGGAGACTTCCACTAGCATCTGACACACAGGTCTCTGGCCCTGGAGACCCCTGCCTGGCCTCGGACAGACCCAGCCCTCCCTCTCTCTCATTGTGTTCCCCTGAGTCACTGCAGAATGTGCTGGGAATCCATGTCCTGAGATGGGAGGGGCTGGCTGCAGTGGCCTCACCCTGTCCCAGCCTGTCCAAACCCAGGATGGCCTTGCCCGCTTTATCCCAGTGAGTCCTGGAACCCCCAGGTATAAAACCCAAGGTGGGCTACTTTCTGGGGTTCTCAGCCAGAGTGCAAGTGGGGCACAGTCAGGTGAGACCTCTCTGCCCTGGCCACCTCCCTGAGCCTGGGGGACTGGCGGGCTATGAGCCCTGGGCTCCCGCGGTTCCTCGATGCCTACCTGTAAGTAGTCACCTGCTTCACATAGCTCATGTGGGCGGGGTCCTGGATCCCTGGACTTGGGTCAGTAGTAAAAGTGCAGCCCAAGACGCAGTGGGCTGAAGTGCGGGCCAGAGATTGGTAAGCCCGTCCACCCCTGCCCGTGTGGCTTCTGTGCCCTGCCCTCCAGGGCTCCTGCTGGTTTGCCACATGCCTGGCCACCTCTGCCTCCTCTGCTGCCCCTTTGGGTTCTTCGACTTCTTGCGGTGGCTGTGGTCCAGGCCTCAGTCCTTGGGGCCTTTCTTTTCCCCTCTCTGTGGTCTTGTCAGGCTTGCGGGTTAAACCCCTGAATGCATTAATGACCTTGAGGCCCTTCTGTTCTGGACCTGTCTTCTGAACCCCATCTCAGACCCCCTGGTGGGAGGGCTCACAGGTGTTCCCTGCCTCCCCAGCCTGTGCCACCTGCCATCTACTTCCCAGCCCTGGCAGTGTACCTGGCCTGGCAGAGTCAAGCCAGCTCTGAGGCACGGAGAGCCGTGAGTGCTGGCGGTGGTTGGAAGCCAGCAGGCAGTGGGGGCCATGGGAGAGGGTTGGCTCTGCTGGCACCAACCCAGGACCTGCACCCAGCTTCCCTATCCCAGCCTGTCCAGGGGAGGAACTTCCAACCCAGCAGACACCCTGGCCCCTTTCCTTCTCCACGCCCACATCCAGCATGTCAGGAAATCCTGTCTCCCCGTTCACAGTTCAGACCCAGAGCCTGCTGCTGCTTCCAGCTTCCCCGCAGGTCCCAGCCATCCTCATTCCCCCTCTGTTATGCAACGGGCTTGTATTTCTCAGTCTCCCTGCTTAACCTCTGCTTATTCTCAGGAAGGAGATCCCCACAATGACTCACTCTCTTTCAGGATAACAGGCGGCTCCCCAGGCCCCACCTCTCCACGCTCACCTCCTTCTCCCTGGAAGGGTCCTCCTGGAAGCCTGTCTCCCCTCAGCCCCACTGCTCAGCTGTGGCTTCCGGTGAGGCCCGCCCTGGCCGCTTCATTTCAAATCGCAGCTCTCCCTGGCACCTCCACGGGCTTTATCGTCACCCTTCACACCCTACGTCGTGTGCTTACTTCCTGCTCCTTATCTGGTTCTCTTGCAGGAATGCAGATTCCATGAAGGAAGGGCTTTGATTCTCTTCATTAACCGCCGTGGCCAGTGCCTAGTGGACAACACACATTCACTGAACGGACACATCTGTGCCAGTTGAGCAAGTGAGTTATTGTGGAAACAAGCTGTGGATTTAGAGCCGAAGGCTTGGGATCCCATCCTAAGTCCACCATTGGCGCAAAGGCTCTGTGACTGGGTCTCTCACCCTGGACGCGGGAATGCCACCACCCTGGGAGACGGTGGCAGTGTGCCTGCCGTGGCAAGCTGAAATGGAAAGACACTTCTGGGTGATGTCTGTTGCATAAATTGGGTAGCTACTTGGGCTGGGAAAATAGCCAGAAGTGAAAAGCTTTACAAATAGGAGTTACAGCAAAAATAAAGGACTTTGTTCAGTAACCTCAGCTGCAGGCAACCCTCAAGGAGGGAAAGAGGAGCCACCTTCTGCATTTCATTCAGCTCTGCTCCCGGAGTCATCTCCACGTGCACAGGAGCACACAGGCTCAGGGTAATTACACGGCTTATTGGAGAAGCCAGTGTGGAGCCAAATTCCTTTTTCCCTCAGATGCCTGTTCTCCGCTGCAGCAAACCCCAACTGCAAAACACCGAAATGAAGTATTCAGATCATTCCTTCCGATACCGTTACTCTCTACTTCCTCACTTTTCTGTGAATTTCTATTAATAGACCATACTTAGGTGACCCAGAGGGCCATGCCATCACTTACTAGAATTTAAAGTCATTATTAAAAATATTTATTAGACTTAGCTTTCTACCTTTTATTGAGAAATTCTAATTACATGACTTCTTCGTGCACATTATTCATTTTGCACATCAACACCTGACATTTCTGATTAGTTCTGGTTTTGTCACATTGATTGTTCCCCTAGTGTATAATCATGTCGTCATATTGAGAATTGTAAAAGTTCAGAACGATATCTAACTCCCCTGAAACCCATCATTATACTTAAATTTCCAACCGACTTTCTAGCATTTTAGTTTTCTTCTTTCCTTTCATGCAGATTTCAGGTGGTGAGGACTTCATTTCCTTGGCAGGGTCTCCTTGAAACACGGAGAAGGAGCTGGCTCTCGGGTGTGGGAGCTGCGTGCACACTCACCTACGGCGCAGGCTGCATGCCTGCAGAATGCACCAGGAAAGACCCAGCGAAGAAGCTGGGGTTGCCATCACGCCTGAGTGGGGAATGGAAACTTCTAGTGTCTGTGCCTGGCAAGCACTCGTGTCCATGACTCCCATTCATTATTCATAAAAAGTGTGCATTGCGAAGATCTTCGGTGCACATTTATGTGACTCCAGCTGCATGGAAGGTGCCAAGATGTGATGGCAATTAGGAGGAGGTCATTGCTCGCCCGCGCTGTCTCTGTGATAAGCTTCCGTGAGAGGAGACAGGAATACGGAAGAACCTGAAGTTGCCACGTGACCCCCGTACAGGAGTCCACACAGCTGGCTGGAGCCCCAGGGAAACATTTGATGGTGACATTGCCCTCAGTGTTCCTGCTTGTGTTTTTCCTTTTCTTTTTAAAAATACCCCCTCCCCTCTCCGCAGGACCTTCACTAGTGCATCTGGGAGGTTATGTGGAGGTTGGAGAGCTTTGGGTCAGGATGACGAATATCTAGGGCTTAGCTCTGTGCCAGGCACCCAGCGGCACCCTGGACCTGAGAGCTGCCCCCCAGCTGGAGCCTTGTCAGGAGCTGGGGCTGGCCCAGGAGCCCTGCCCACTGGTTCCCATGAGCGCTGTCTCTCCACATGGATGGGAGCGGCCGCCCTGGCCTCTGAGCTGTGCTGTATGGCAGCTGCCCAGCTGGTTCATAGGCTGTGCGGTATGATGCGTGATGAGGTTCAGGACAGGACACCCCACCCTGATATTTTCAGCTAAGGAATTTGAGAAAAGTGCAGAAGCGGGAAGCCACACTCACCTTCCTGCCTCCTCTCATGATTTAGGTCATAAGAGCCAGGCAGGACTGTGGCTCTCCCCGGAAGCTGGTCTAGGAGCCCCCTGCCTGTGAGAGGTGGCCACCCTGTCTGGAGGAGCGGAGTGTCCTTAGCTCGAAAGCTGAAGGGCCTCCCGGTTTGCTGCCAACAGATCACACCGCGTCATTCATTCTTTCTCACCCCATTTTCACCAAACCTCCCGTGACACACACTCGGGTTTTCTCACCACCGCCCCGTTTTCGCCAAACCTCCTATGAAACACACTCAGGCTCTCGCCTGTTTCTTTGGGTTGGCATTTCCGTATGAAGGCTCCTGCATCGCATAAAATTTAAATGAAGTAAAATGTGCAGTTTCCTCTTGTCCATCTGTCTCTCGTGATAGAAGCCTCAGCCGTGAACCTAGGACGGGTGAGGAAAGGGGTCTTTCCCCTACTGAGCAATTCTGCTGGAAGTGTTGCCTCCTTTCCTTTCTCCCCTGTGGCTGTTCCTCTTGGGACCCCTTCCTTGTCCCCTCTCCCTCCCTTCCCAGCCTGAAACTGACAATGGAAATTGCCTTGGGGTGGGTTGGAGGGTAGTGGGCCTTCCCTTCTGTGCCTCTCCTGCCCTTCTCCTTGCCCCCACTCCCGTGGGCCTGCATCCTGCAGAGGTGCAAGGTTCCTGTGGGACGGGGGAGGTGTAAGTCGTTCACAGGCTGCTGGGTGGACGCCAGACACCCCCCTGCTTAGTCTATTCCTGGACCTGGGCCACGGAAACACGCCACGGAAAACGTATGGAAGTTACTGCCCTGGAAGGAAAGCATCATCAAAATGAAATTCAACAGGTGCCACCCGAGGATGCTGGGCCTGGGATGGCCCTCCCTGGATGCAGCACTGCGCTGTGGAATGTACCCGGGCCCTCCATGGGTCCAGGGCAGCCTAGGGCAGTGTGGGTGGGAGCCTGGGGGTCTGGGGGCTCCATGGAGCGGGAATCCTGCCTTGGCCCCGGGATCTTCCTGCGGCGGTTCAGGTAACATTTTCTAGGCTGCAGGAAGATTTCCGGGAGCTTCCCGGAGGGGGATGCAACCCCGTTTGCGTCCTCGGTGAATACGTAGATGTTTCATGATTCTTGGTGGTTTCTGAATCCGGGAAGTCGGTGCTGAGTCCTGCTGGTGCTCCTGCTGCCTTGCTGGGATCACTAGGGGTGCCCAGCGGCCCTAGACCTCTCGCCTGGAGGGTATTCAGGAAGGAGCCCAGTGCCAAGCAACTCCACCCTGTGGATTCTGTTTCAGGTGAAACCTGCCCATCTGGCCAACCTCGGCACCCTCCTCCTGCTTTGTCAGGACACAAACGCAGACCCTGGCCCTGCCTGTCAAGAAGTCTGCAGAGGCTCAGCCTCCCCCTGGGCATTGTGGGGGCTCTTCCACCCTCCCCATCACAGGCTAAGCTCTTTTCTTTTTGCCATGGGGCATCTTGATAGCATATTTAGCAAAATGCTGCAGCTGGCACATGTGTGGCATTTGAGCTGCTGCTTCTGAGCCAGCTTCCCAGGCCTCAGGTACACCGGAGTTCACTCATCACACCATCTCTGCAGCGACAGGTTACGTGGGAATTGGGCAGGGCCAACTTTCCCCGGATGACTGGGGTCCTTGATGTGATACCCCGCTCAGCAAACCCTGCCTTTCTTTCCCTTTGCAATTCTTGAGACCATTTTCTACTTGAAAATAAAGCAACCTTAAGGCACCGTGTTCGTTTCCATTTCAGAGAGTAGTTTTGCTCCTTTTTTCCTATGAGAGAAAAACGTGAAGCCCCTTCCCTGCCACCGACTTTCCCTGTCTGCCCCGATGCCAGCCTGCCTGTGTCTTCACGGGAATCTCCGTGGGCGAGGAGCTGTGTAAGATGTTTGCACCATGTAGTCACTTTCTGCAGACTTAGAGCATGAAACGGTCAGGGCAGCGTGTCAGCCGGCGTACCCTTCAGCTGAGTATGCTGCTGTCTGGGGAGCAACTTTTAAACTGTCAAGCAGCTTCTGCGTTATGTTGTGATAAGTTAGAGCTTCCCATTTTATAAGACTTTGACTTATCCGTTTCGAATTGAAATGCTTTCGTCTTTAGTTATGCCTTCCTGGACGGACATGCAGGCTGTGCTGTGTCTTGAGAGGCACCGAGGCCTCACCACGGCTTCAGCCATGGGCGTCGATTTCTCCCCTAAAGCTCTGGAGGACACTCTCCGGACTGTTCTCCTGGCTCCTCCAGGTGCGCGTCCCCACCTGCGCTGGGGCCTCATGGCCTCCCTCACAGGGCCATGTGAGAAGGCTGAGCACAGGGAGGCGGCTGTGGTGGGGGCTGGGGGTGTCTCGTGTCTTCCTTTTTTTTAAGTGGAGGAAGAGTGATTCCCAGATTCTCACCCATCTGGACTCATCCTTGATCTCCTTGGCCAGAGATGGCCACGTGACTACCCTACTGCCAGGGAAACCGAGGCAGCAAATATCTGGGTTTTCAGGCTATGGTGGGAACAGTTGTAGAGAGTGGCACCCAGGTCCAAATCATGAACTGATGTAAACCTGGCTGCGGCCCCTCATCCTGCCGCCCCATCCCTGCAGCAAACAGCAGCTCTTCTCACCAACAGGGGCTCTTTCTCTGCCCCTGGAGGCCGGGCGGCCTCTGACTGACTTGCTTTGGCCAGTAGGATGGGGGGTTTTGCCCAGCCAAGGCCTCAGCTGTGTGAGTCTCGCAGTTCCCACAAAGCCCTGTACTGTCACGGGCACCTGCCTGTGGCCCTGAGTCTCCGTGGGGCCCAGCTGGGGTGTGAGGGGGCTCAGCAAAGCTCCGCAGGGTCACCCAGCCAACCCGGCCGAGCAGACACGTTTATTCTCTTCCGCGCCAGCTCAGACTGCAGCCCTGTCCCAACACCACCTAGACGGGAGCAGAGCCAGCGGCTGCGGTTACAGGCTCAGAGGTTTGTGGTCATGTCGTGGGGTTACCACTGTGGCAATAGATAACTGATAATAGAAACAGCAGCAACTACAGATACCCTCAGCATGGAATATTCCAACGCATTAAAACGTGTGAAGTGCAGAAAATCACCCAGAAGTCTGCCCTGCAGAGAAAACTGTCATTAACACTTGGCAGGCATGTTTTGTGCCTTTATTTTTCTATATACTCCTTTTTCAAGCATAGACATTACGCAGTACATAAGTGTTTTCATTTAAGGGTATGCTTTTCATTTTAATAAACACTTCTTAAATGTCAGTGTAATAACGTATGAATACTGGTTATTTGTGTAGCTGAAAATTTGTATAAGCATTCCAATTTCTGATATTTGACTTTTTAAAATACTAGTGTGATAAACATGTCGATACATAATATTTTTGTTTATGTGCACTTTACCTCTTTCCTCAGGATGTGTTCTTAGAGCTGGAGGCCCTGGGTCAAAGCGGGTGGCAGCTTCCCCGCCCTGTACCTACCCAGCTGCCTTCTAGAAGCTGGGCTGGTCCCACGGACGGAGAATTCTGCTTCACTCATCAGCAGCGGCACAAAGCTTCATCATGTGAAATGCTTCCTCCGTGGCTGTGGAAGAAACGGGTTTTCATTTTGACTCCGGTTGCATGGAGTTCACGTGCTGTGGTGGGTGTCTGTCTCCTCCAGCTGCAGGCACCAGCCTGGGGGGCTCGGGGGGCCCAATTCTGGTGTTGATATTCATGGGGACATATGTGGACAGGGCCCAGGCGAGGTTTGCTGGTCCCTGAGAAAACAGCCCAAGAGGACCCATCCCTTCCTCTTCCACTGGCCAAGGTCAGATCTGAATGTGGCCAAGGGACCGTCGCAGTCTCTCTCCACCCAGAGGCCTGGCTGCCTGAGCTGTTCAGAGCCTCTGAATAACCAAGCCTGAGCGTGCCCTGCTGGGTCTGCACTTCTGTTCTTGAAGGCAATGCACCACGTGCTGCTCCCGCCACCAGCCGTGTGCTTGTGTGTTCTCCATGGCTGGCGCCTCCTGCGCACCGTGCTGTGGCCTGGCACTCCTCCCGTGTGTGTTCTCCATGGCTGGGACCTCCCACGTGCCGTGCTGTGGCCTGGCACTCCTCCCGTGTGTGTTCTCCATGGCTGGTGCCTCCTGCACCATGCTGTGGCCTGGCACTCCACCCGTGTGTGTTCTCCGTGGCTGGTGCCTCATGCATGCTGTGCTGTGGCCTGGCATTCCTCCTGTGTGTGTCCTCCGTGGCTGGTGCCTCCTGCACCATGCTGTGGCCTGGCACTCCACCCGTGTGTGTTCTCCGTGGCTGGTGCCTCATGCATGCTGTGCTGTGGCCTGGCATTCCTCCCGTGTGTGTCCTCCGTGGCTGGTCCTCCCGTGCGCCGTGCTGTGACCTGACACTCCTCCTGTGTGTTCCTCCATGGCTGGTGCCTCATGCGTGCTGTGCTGTGGCCCGGCACTCCTCCCATGTGTGTTCTCCATGGCTGGCGCATCCTGTGCATGGTGCTGTGGCCCAGCACTCCTCCCGTGTATGTTCTCCGTGGCTGGCACCTCGTGCGCCCTGCTGTGGCCTGGCACTCCTCCCGTGTGTTTCTCCGTGGCTGGTGCCTCATGCGTGCTGTGCTGTGGCCCGTCACTCCTCCCGTGTGTTTCTCCGTGGCTGGTGCCTCATGCGTGCTGTGCTGTGGCCCAGCACTCCTCCCATGTGTGTTCTCCATGGCTGGCGCGTCCTGTGCATGGTGCTGTGGCCCAGCACTCCTCCTGTGTATGTTCTCCGTGGCTGGTGCCTCATGCGCCCTGCTGTGGCCTGGCACTCCTCCCGTGTGTGTTCTCTGTGGCTGGCGCATCCCATGCTCTATACTGTGGCCTGGCACTCCTCCTCCTGCTGCTCGGCAGCTGCGGGCTGCTCTCCAGTGTCGTGCGACGGCCTTCTGAAAAATGGAACCAACAAACTCAGTCACCTGGAAGCTGCAAAGTGTGTACGTGCCTCTTAATAAAAAGATTTGTTAGTACTCTTGTAATTACAAATTTGTTTGCAATTCATATTAAAGAAAGAAATAACCAAGAAGAGAAAGTCGATTTCTGGTGTGGTCCTTCCTGGGCCGCGCTAGTTCAGGGCTGTGAGGATTCTGTGGTCGGAGAGGACAACCCAGCACCCCTCGAGGCCTCCCTTCTCTGTGTGGGTGGTGGAGACACAAAACAAACTGGGCTTTCCCTGCAAGGGGTTCAGAGAAGGCCCCTCTGAAGAGGAAACGTCGGACCTACCGTGTGAAGAGACAGAAGGAATTCACTCTTCTGGAAGCTTCCTGAAGCCTCTTGTCAAGACCAGTGAGAGTATTTCAAGCTGTCTGGGTGCTGTGCATATGGCGGTAAAACCAGCAGTTTGGTGTACAGTGGTCTGAAGCAACAGGACCTGCGACAGCTGCCAGGGGTGGGCGGGCCTCAGGCTGACCCCAGCAGGGGCTCTGGGCCGACCCTGGGGTCTGCTGGGGCTGCGGTGCTGTGGCTTCAACTGCTGGGGGAACCCTCACCCAGGGGCCTAAAAGTGGCCAGAGGAAAACAAGCCAGCCACAGTCGGATGCATTCCTGGAGCTGGGAGGAGTCTCTCTGGAACTGGGAGGAGTCTCTCCAAAGCTGAGAGGAGTCTCTGTGGAACCAGGAGGAGTCTCTCCAGAACTGGAGGTGTCTCTCTGAAACCCCTCCTTTCCCCTCCACTCCCAGGGTTGAGTCAGTGTCGGGGCTAGGAACTGGGGCTGCCTTCCAGAGGCGAGCTCCGTCCACTGAGAGAGGCTCTGCCTTCCCTGGGCATTTGGGCTCTGTGGGAGATGGAGACACCTGCTTGAAACCATCCTAGGAGGGAGGAATCGTGGGGGCGGGGGCAGCTACCGACAGCGTGGAACACTCAGGGCCTGGCTTGCTCGGAAACGGAGGCTGGTGTGGCTGGGACAGGCCTGGGAGAGCAGCAGGTTTGGGGCCCGAAATGTCTTAAAAGGCTGCTGACAGTGGGGCACGAGGGAGTGTGAGGCCGGGAGCCGAGGGTCAGCCCTCCACAGGCCAAGTGTGTCTGAGCCCGGTTCCTTGACAGCCAGGCCCAGGCCTTCTGGAGCTGAGCTCTGCCATGAACGTGCCTGCCTTCCTCATTGGAAATATAGGCCCTGTGGAGCGTCTCCATGACCACACACACATCGCGGGGCATCTCCGTGACCACACACACCGCGGGGCGTCTCCGTGACACACACACACCACGGGGTGTCTCTGTGACACACACACACGGCGGGGCGTCTCCGTGACACACACACACCATGGGGTGTCTCTGTGATCACACACACCGCGGGGTGTCTCCGTGACCAGGCACACACCGCGGGGCGTCTCTGTGATCATGCACACACCGCGGGGCGTCTCCGTGACCACACACACTGCGGGGCGTCTCTGTGACACACACACACGGCGGGGCGTCTCCGTGACACACACACACCACGGGGTGTCTCCGTGATCACACACACTGCGGGGTGCCTCTGTGACCAGGCACACACCGCGGGGCGTCTCCGTGATCACGCACACACCGCGGGGCGTCTCCGTGATCACGCACACACCACGGGGCGTCTCCGTGACCACACACACTGCGGGGCGTCTCCGTGACCACACACAACTGCGGGGCATATGTGACCACACACACTGCGGGGCGTCTGTGATCACACGCACACTGTGGAGTGTTTCTGTGACCACACACACTGTGGGGCATCTGTGACCACATGCACACTGTGGAGCATCTCCATGACCACACACACTGCGGGGCGTCTCCGTGACCACACACACTGCGGGGCATATGTGACCACACACAACTGCGGGGCATATGTGACCACACACAACTGCGGGGCGTCTCCGTGACCACACACACTGCGGGGCGTCTGTGACCACACACTGTGGAGTGCGTCCATGAACACCTGCATTCCTCAGGGCGGGTCCGTGACAACACACACACCGTGTAGTGATGTCTCTATACACACTGTGGAGTGGGCCCGTGACTACACACTCCCTGGGGGGTCCAGCAGGCCACAGGAGCAAGCAGTGAGACTCTCATTCCTTGTGCAGCCGTGAGCATCTTAAAAGCCTCTGTCCGTGACGGCTGGCATCGCGAGTGCTGGGCCTTTGGGATGATCAGGAGCTGGAAGCCTTCTGTTGCCTGGTGTGTCACGAACGACATTCCTCATGCGTCTGCAGTGGTGCTGGTGGAAGCAATCCCACCGCGTTACCGGTTGTGTAAATGTGTGGCTCGCACAGTGTGGACAGCACATTGTGCTTGATATGACGATGTACTGTACTAGATATTTTACTGTTATTTGAGAGTGTGCTCCCCCCATGCAGTAGAGAAAAAGTCAGCTGTGAAGCAGCCGCAGGCAGGTCGTGCGGGAGGTGTCCAGAGGAAGGCGTTGCCATCACAGGAGGCGACTGCTCTGTGTGTGTCTTTGCCCCTGAAGACCATGCAGTGGGACCAGATGTGGAGCTGGAAGACAGTGATAACGTGCGTTTATGTCTTTGTTTTTAACAAAAACATTTTAAAAGTTAAATTTAAAAATAGAGAAAAGCTGATAGAATGAGAATATGAAGAAAGTAATTTGGGACAGGTGTGGAATGTGTTTGTGTTTTAAGCAAAGCGTTATAAAAGAGTCAAAAAGTCAAAAAAAAGTTGAAAGTTTATAACCTAAAAATGTTACAGTAACCCAAGGTCAACCTATCATTTAAGGGAGAAAACTGTTTTGCATGAATGTGGTCTGTCGTGAGTGTGCACTGTTGAGTCCACAGCAGCTACGGTCACGTGCCGGCCCTCACGTTCGCTCTCCGCTCACTCACGGACTCGCCCAGGGCGGCATCCAGCCCGAAAGCTCCAGTCATGGTAGGTGCCCCACTCCGGTGCAGCTGTATTTTTTATTGCACCTTTGTTATGTTTAGATAGGCACACACTGACCATTGCATTGCAGTTGCTGGCAGTACTCCGGCCAGTCACACAGGGCACGGGTTTGCAGCCCTAGGGCAGCAGGCTCCACCGTGCAGCCCGGGCGTGTAGCCGGCTGCTCACCCAGGTGTGTGTCGGCACACTGCTAATGATGCATTCCTCAGGATGTGCCCATCATTAGGTTCATTAGGTGAAACCTGACTGTTGCAGTGGAAGTGCTTTTGTGTACACTTTTGGCTTGTCACACTTCTTAATGGTTGATTGTCATTCTGATTTTAAAGTTTTACATTTCAAAAGCCACATAATTGCTAAAACCATCGAATTTTTTTTTTTCAGACGGAGTCTCACTCTGTCACCCAGACTGGAGTGGAGTGGCGCAATCTAGGCTCACTGCAACCCTCTGCCTCCCAGGCTCCAGCAATTCTCCTGCCTCAGCCTCCTGAGTAGCTGGGATTACAGGGGTGTGGCACTACCGCCCAGCTAATGTTTGTATTTTTAGTGGAGATGGGGTTTCACCACGTTGGCCACGCTAGTCTTGAACTCCTGACCTCAAATGATCGACCAGCGTCGGCCTCCCAAAGTGCTGGGATTACAGGTGTGAGCCGCCATGCCAGGCCCTTGTTCTTTTCAATCTATGATAAATAGAAAGCGAATAAGTTACACTTACCAAATATTATTAATTAAGTAGCTGCCAAGTGTTTCCCAGGTGTGGAAGGCATATCACTGCTGTTTTGAGAAATCATTTCAGGTCATGCAGACCGAATAGTTTGATTTTAATGGATATTAGGGGAAAAAGTACTATATTTTTAAAGAAAGTGCTGCAGGCCCATGCTTTGGCAATTATTTTTACTTAAGAAAAATGCTTTGCTGAGTTTTCAAGTTGAAAAATGAGTCAACTTAAAAAAATGTATAAGACAAATAATGCTGTGTGTGGGAGAAAACACGGTTAAAAGTGCGGTGACAGGAACAATTATAGGTTTCAGAACTGGCGAGCGCGAGCAAACTGCTCTCTAACCACGGAGCTCATTTTTCACGTCGTGCATCTTTTTTCTGGTCTTTTTTCTTTGCGGTACCAGGTGACATATCTCACCCTGGCAGTTGTGAAGGACTGTGTTCCCTGCTGTCGCTACCTCTGTCGTTTTACAAGGTCACGCATCTGATTTTAAGTTTTACGACTGTATATGTATAAGCTTTTCAAAATAATGAGCTACCATATTTGTGAAGTATCGCTCCGTGAGACGTGGTGTGCGCGTGGGTTTCAGGGGAAGAACGCCTCCTCTCCTCACGCTCCCGTCATCTAACCTGGGGTTCCTCTGCCTGATCGTTTCTTTAGTCAAATTTTTATTTTGTAGATTTTATAGGAACTGAGTCTCATAAACAGGTTTAGAAGTTTCTTTTCTTTTCTTTCTTTCTTTCTTTTTTTTTTTTTTTGAGATGGAGTCTTGCTCTGTTGCCCAGGCTGGAGTGCAGTGGCACGATCTCAGCTCACTACAACCTCAGCCTCCCAAGCTATTCTCCTGCCTCAGCCTCCTGAGTAGCTGGGATTACAGGTGCCTGCCACCACGCCCGGCTAATTCTTTATGTTTAGAAGTTTCTGATACCACTTATTTTAACCAGCCTTGGTGGACTTGGTCAGCATTTGTGTAGTGGGTCTTTTACATTTTTGAGCTAATCTTTGCTTTTTGTGGTTCATTTTCCCAGGAAGGTGGACACTCTGTACACTCTCACACCTTCGACAGAATTCCTACTGCTTTTGGTTCAGTTCTCTTCACTGACAGCAGGCGGGAATGCGACGTGAAACATAACAAGCCTGTCTACGCAGCGGGATTGGCCTGGGCTCCGAGGGCCACGCTTCCCCTCCTCCCTGGCCTGTGCCGTTCCTCAGGCTCCGGTGCCCCGCGCTGCGCGGTGGAAATCCGAGGCCGCCTTCACTTGCACGTCTTGTGCGTAATGCTTTTCTCCCGAGTGCCGACAGGACTGTGCCGAGTTGCTCCCTCACGCCGATGCTGGGATAGGTACAGGCGCG